TGTCTGCATCGCATGGGCGCATTAAATTTCGAGACTGTGACGACGATGGTGGATCTCATGAGTAATACTCTTTTTCTCTTCTGTAAATAACCGTTTCTATTTGGCTTTACCTTGAGCGTCAGCTCGCCGCATAGTCACTCCTTAGTATGATCTTAGCATCTCTGTAGTAGTAATGTAACAATATGTGTTTTTTTTTTTTTTGAACATACCTTTGCCTTACTTTCTCCACAGTGACCTCACAATATCGATATAGTTTTCACGGCATGCTTGCGCACCTGTCCCGATGATTTCTTTACTCACATCAATAGTAGATGGGATCCAGACAGACTTCTAGTGTGTAACAATGATAAAGAGGGAGTGCGTGTCACTTACTGCGGCGAGTCGGCTACCCTCGCTGTCGCGACCCCAGCGCAAGGCGGTAGTGGACGGAAACTAGGATCCCAAGCGCTCCAAATTGGGAAATGGACCATATAGTTGGGAGCTGCCCCACAGCGCGTGATCGCCTTCCATGTGCGGGGTGACCTTCATCCCTTAACAAGCAGACACTCAGATGATCCCAAAGCAAACTTGAGACGATGCGAAAGCTCCTGAATAGGGTATGTCGCAGCTGATGGATGGAGTATGCGATTTTTTGGCTTCTGTACATCGTCCGAACAGGCGTCAGAGATAGTGCATCGCGATGTAGCTCGTGGACTTGGTAAACCTTGGGGTTCATGCACGAGGAGTGGAGGAGTGCGGGGAAACTGCACCGGTGGTGTTTAATTCGGCAGAACACAACACGAGGGAAACGCGGCCCAGAGGTACCGCCTTATTGTACCACAATGTCTCGTAAGCCGGCAGCCTTTCTGGCGTTCACTCACGCTGCTTTCTGGCATTATTTCCAGCTGCTAACCCTATCTTCTTTTGAAAGAAACTCAAGAATCGCTGGCAGATGCGGGTACCTGACTTCCCCCTTTGCTCATTGTCATTCGAGACGGCATGAACTGCGTCGCTGGCTATAGGGTGCTTGCCCTTCGCCCGCAGCGGGGCAGCTTACTTGCTACCTTGAAGCCGTGTGCTTCTCTCTCTACATTGAAACCAACACCAGTGCTGGGACGTAGAGATGGTTCAAAACATACTTTGGCTACCACGAGCCTTCGGAACCTTACCCGCCCGCGCCCGCTGTCCCTGCAGCAGCATGTCTCGCATGTTACGGCTGTTGTGCGGTATGCATCCGGGCAGGCATCGGAGCCGCACGACGAGGAGTTACCTAACACCCCGCCGTTCACCGCAGGCCCTTACTCCAACCTCACTATTGGAGTACCCAAGGAAAGCTATCCTGGCGAGAGGCGGGTAGCAATCACGCCACAGGTAACGTTTCCCTATACTGACTAGACGTGAGACATGCGCTTACTTTGCATCTTCGGCCTTATAGAATGTTAAGCTTCTACTCAAGAAAGGCTTCTCTCGCATCTTGATTGAGCGTGGTGCTGGCAGTGCCGGTACCTTTACTGACGAAGCCTATGAGCAAGCTGGGGCGCAGACTGTTGATCGCAGAAGTGTCTTCTCCGAGAGTGACATTTTGCTCAAAGTCCGAGCTCTCAGTATCGATGGAAATGATAGCGAAGTTGACGCTATTCGAGAAGGAGCCACTGTTATATCCATGCTCTACCCAATGCAGAACAAGCCGACCGTAGAACGAATCGCAACCCGAAAGGCCACTGCATTTGCCATGGACATGATCCCACGGATTTCTAGAGCGCAAGTCTTCGATGCACTATCATCTATGGCGAACATCGCTGGTTATAAGGCAGTCTTGGAAGCTTCTAACCATTTCGGACGTTTTCTAACTGGACAGGTAACGGCTGCTGGAAAGATACCTCCCTGTAAAGTTCTAGTCATTGGCGCAGGTGTTGCGGGCCTGAGTGCCATTGCAACTGCTCGACGAATGGGTGCCATTGTCCGTGGTTTCGACACACGATCCGCAGCGCGTGAACAAGTCCAATCTTTAGGTGCGGAATTCATCGAAGTCGACATCTCAGAAGATGGTTCCGGAGCTGGCGGCTATGCCAAAGTCATGTCCAAGGAATTCATCGAAGCAGAGATGAAACTCTTCTATGAACAGTGCCGAGAGGTTGATATTGTCATCACTACAGCCTTGATCCCAGGCAAGCCCGCGCCGAAACTAATAACCAAGGCCATGCTCGGCGCGATGAAACCTGGCTCTGTTGTCGTGGATCTAGCAGCCGAAGCTGGAGGTAACTGCGAAGCTACAGAACCTGGAAAACTGGTAGATTATAGAGGGGTATCAGTCATTGGTTTGTCATCATGATGATTTTGAGCGAGCCAATACTAACCTCAAGCGCAGGTTATACTGACCTTCCGTCTCGCCTGCCAACTCAGTCGTCAACTCTCTATTCAAACAACGTCACCAAGTTCCTGCTTTCACTGACCCCAAAGGAGAAGAAGGAGAAGTACTACGATGTTGATCTTACCGACGAAGTCACTCGCGGTGCTATTGTCACTTACAACGGCAAGATCCTTCCTCCAGCTCCACGTCCAGCTCCTCCACCAGTCCAAGCCAAGCCTGCACCGTCGCCTGCAGACCAGGTTGCAAATGCTGTCGCACTAACACCATGGCAGACCCAGTCTCGGCAAGTAGCCAGCGTCACAGCTGGCATGACTGCTGCTCTGACTTTGGGTAAATTTACAGGTCCGCTGTTCATGTCTAACGCCTTTACGTTCGCACTAGCCAGTCTGATCGGATACCGAGTGGTCTGGGGTGTTGCGCCTGCTTTGCATTCTCCACTCATGAGCGTAACGAATGCCATCTCCGGAATCATAGGTGTTGGCGGCTTGTATGCCATGGGTGGTGGCTACCTTCCTGAAACCATCCCACAAACGCTTGGAGCCTTGTCAGTTTTATTGGCCTTCGTCAACATATCGGGAGGATTCGTAATCTCGAAAAGGATGCTGGATATGTTCAGGCGCCCTACTGACCCCAAGGAGTATCCCTGGCTGTACGCAGTCCCTGCAGCACTCTTTGGTGGTGGCTTCATCGCAGCAGCCTCTACCGGTATGGCAGGTCTGGTCCAAGCAGGCTATCTTGTCAGCAGCATACTCTGCATGACTTCGTTATCAGGGCTTGCATCTCAGACGACTGCGAGGCGAGGTAACATGTTGGGCATACTCGGTGTATTCTCTGGATTCCTCGCGTCTTTGGCCGCTGTCGGCTTCACTTCCGATGTTCTCACTCAATTCGCCGGCCTGGCTACAGTAGGTACTGTCGCTGGGCTAATGATTGGTCGGAGGATTACGCCTACCTCGTTACCTCAAACAGTCGCCGCGCTCCATTCTGTTGTCGGTCTCGCCGCCGTACTCACAAGCATCGGTAGCGTGTTGGGCCATTCTGGAGATATCTCAACCCTTCACATGGTTTCTGCCTACCTTGGTGTTCTCATCGGTGGTGTTACATTCACTGGGTCCATTGTCGCTTTCCTGAAGTTAGCCGCCAAAATGAGCTCGAAACCTTTGGCGTTGCCCGGCCGACATCTGGTCAATAGTACACTGCTTGGAGCGAATGTAGCGACAATGGGTGCTTTCTTAACCTACGCACCGGGTGCACCTCTAATCGGTGCCGCATGTCTCCTCGGCAATGCGGCGCTCTCTTTTGTCAAAGGCTACACAACCACTGCTGCCATCGGTGGAGCAGATATGCCAGTTGTCATCACCGTCCTGAACGCTTATTCTGGGTTCGCATTAGTGGCTGAGGGGTTCATGTTAGACAACCCCTTGCTTACGACAGTTGGTGCTCTGATTGGAGTATCAGGATCGATCCTTTCCTACATCATGTGCGTAGCCATGAACCGATCACTGACCAATGTACTCTTTGGCGGCATAGCTCCCACAGTGCAGTCAGGCTCCAAGATCGAAGGCGAGATAACGAAGACAACATCCGAAGAAACAGCTGAAGCTCTGGTCAACGCAGAGAGCGTCATTATCGTAGTCGGTTACGGCATGGCCGTGTCTAAAGCACAGTACGCGCTTGCGGACTTTGTGAAAAGCCTACGTTCGAAAGGTATAACCGTGCGCTTCGCCATCCATCCTGTCGCGGGGCGAATGCCTGGACAATGTAACGTCCTTCTCGCTGAAGCCTCTGTTCCGTATGACATCGTCCTTGAGATGGATGAGATCAACGACGACTTCCCAGACACGGACGTAACCCTCGTTATCGGTGCGAACGATACAGTGAACCCCATCGCACTAGAGCCTGGTAGTGCAATCGCAGGTATGCCGGTACTGCACGCGTGGAAGAGCAAGCAGGTTGTCATCATGAAGAGAGGCATGGCCAGTGGATACGCCGACGTGCCGAACCCGATGTTCTTCATGGAGAATACAAAGATGTTATTTGGTGATGCTAATGAAAGCTGCAATGGTATGTCAGCTCTAGATCACACCAAGACTTGAAAACACTGCTAACATGATATCAGCTATCAAACGCGCGCTCGAAGAGAAGATCAAGGGGCTATAGATAGACTTTTGCATGAAGGAACAAAGTACTTGCGCAATAGGTCGCTGTATGTAGATTGTCGGATGGAGAGGATACTTGGATAGTCCTAGATAAGCGTACATGGTTCTTGGCGCGCTCGCAGTTTCTTGAAACACAGTCTCACTATGCTGTTCTGCAGGTTCATAGTTCGCGTTGGACCCACGACAAGAAAATCCAGTCGAGTCGAAAGCGGGGCAAACAAACCCCTGTCAAGCCACGGCGCGCAACGCGTCCAGCCGCAGGTGCCGATGACGTATATTGTAACCCATGTAACACTCTTCAAGTCTGGGAAACTTGCAATCGTCGTTTCGACGTATAACGGCTGCTAAGCTCCCCAGCTTTTTCCCGACTACAGATACACATACAAACAGCATTCACGACTAGATACACACCAACAGTAGGTTGAGGTCCTCGTATGCTATGGAATTGTCTTGCTAACGACCACCAGGACCAAGCAGTAACGATCGCAACCATGTCTCTTCCTCTCCTTTTCACGCTCCCGCCCTCCAACCGCCATGAATTTCTTCTTCTAGACACTTCTTCCAAGATCACATTGAAGTCGCTCAACGCACAAATCACTTCTACGATCTCATCGAGCCCTAACTGCGCCGAATGTACGTCGAACAATACATCGCACGCCAGACTGCTCAGTGCACCTGAATAACAACAACCTTGCAGTCATGGCGAAGCACAAGGCTGCTGACGGTCCCAAAGAGACGATTCAAGAATTCAAGATTCACTGGGATACCAAGACAAGAGATGGCAAGATATGGCCCGAATACACCGTAGTGACGGATGAGAACTTCCCAGCGATACTGGAATTGCTCAAGGCGAATCCAGTCATGGGTGTGCTGGAGATCAAGTTGGGTAGTTCGGACTAGATTAGCGTAGCACGAGCAAGTATGAACATTCAGTAGCAATGAAAAGGAATGAGCCAACAATCTGTTTGAGAATTTGATTTTTCGTATACATTACGATGCAACGACGGGAGCATTGCTCAAACGTGGTCGTACTTCGTTACACCCAAAAGCCTATATTCAATACATATGAAAATCTTTAACACCATTGGTGTCGAAGTATGCGCCGGAGGGTAGCCCAGCGTCGAGTAAACCAAGTGGAGGGTATCCGTGTCAAAAGCAACCCATGAAAACGCCGATGTGAAGGCAATGCCGTCGATGCTATACCCTTTGGGTTCCTGCAAGATATGCCGAGAGCGCCGTGTTTGTAGTGTGACCTCGAAGAAACAATACAGCACCAGATGAATTAAACATGTACGCGCCGTAACCACGTCACTTAGGCGACTTCTCTGTCGGCTCGGTGATCATTTGCTGCCAATGAACGAGATCGCGACTCAAAAAGTCCATCATCTGAGTTGTGCTCAGATTCTTGAACTTGGCCAGGTCTGTATCCTCGTCTTTCTGCTGCTCTTGAGCAGGCTCGCCGTTCGTTGTGGGTTGAACAGCCGGAGCCAGACTTCCATGCTTCTCTCCAGTGGCCATCTCAACCTGTCGCTGCGCTATGTAACTTTGCATAGCTCCAGCCGGCCTTCGTATGTCGTTCCAAGACAGCTTCTGCAGACGCCAGTTCTTCGTCTTGGCAGGCTTGTGTCCGGTTGTCCCGTCACTGCTATCGTGCCCATTGGTGGCTCCGTTTGTGACATTCGCTTGCGGAGATTGTGCAACGTCGTTCTTGGGTGAAGTGCCGTTGGTCGCGGGTATGGTATCGCGAGAGTACTGATTTCGACCAAGGCGACCGCGAGCCTTTTGTGGTGGACGTCCACCTCTTCGTGGAGCAGGCGCAGGCTTGGGTTCTGCCATAGGAGTGTCGAGAATTGTCGCCTCGGTGGCAGACGGAGGCATAGCGGGCTCTTCTACGGCAGGTGCGGGACTGGGTTCGTGTTCCTCTATATCTGAAAACCGTTAGCTAACGTTTCGTTTCCTCATTGGCAATAGCTTACCGTCCCCCTTTCTTCGCTCTGCACGCCCTTTTCGTCGATTCGCGGCTTCGTTTCGGCTACTCTCACGTTCCTTTTCACGTTGTTCTTTTTCGCGTTGACTCTTAGCGGCAGCCCCACGAGGTTTCTGTTTCGGAGCGGAGGCTCTTGTGCTATCGTCTTCGGATTCTATCACTGGCGAATTGCTGGGAGAACGAGAACCAGTCCGCTGTCGTTTGATTTCCGGCTTTGTCCTGTTACAAACTTGTTAGCTAGATGTCTCCAATGGCACACGTAGCAGCAAGCAGGACTCACTCTTCACTGTCGTCACGGCTCCGCTTCTTTCGATTGCCGTTCTCTGACGCTGTACCGCCCTCATGCTTGCTTTCTTCGAGTACCTTCCGTAGCACCTCATCTTCATCGTAAGCAGCTCGGCTATTCATCGTCGATCGGCGTTTGCCAAAGGAATCTACGCTCGCCCTGTTGTTGCGGTCCTTGTCTTTGCCTGGATGCCCATCTGATTCCTTGGAAACAGACGATTTGCGATTCTTGCCATGCTGTTGATCGTAGACGGGGAGGTATCTAGAGTACTTTTGCCTATAGAAACGATTCCGTTAGCATTGTGTAAACAAAGCGATTGTGACGCCACAAGGATGCTCAATGGATCGGATGGGGTGGCGCGATATAGAAGAAACTCATGATGAGGTATAAGAATGCAAAGAGCGCGCGAATGAATGCAAGTACATACCCTTTGGGGCTTGTTGTGACCTTGTGGAGGTCTTTCCTGCACTCTTCGCAAAAGTACTCGTCTGGACTGGCAGCTTCGTCCATGATGCCTACACAGCCTCCGTGTTGCCAGACCTTACATATATCGCACTGAATGAAGAGCCCGCCAAGTTCATCGGCTTGGGTGTCGGGGTCCACGAGAGCAGACATGGACTTGGGAGCATCCGATGGCGGACCTGGGTACTCTTGGTAGCCACACACACATCGAGTGACCTCGTCCTCTTCCGCTATCTCATCGTCGAGCTCGTCGTCGAGTTTGGCCGATTCGTTCTCATCATTGTCATGCTCGCGTGTTCGTCGGCGGGTTAGAGGCGGGTCAGGCTGGACGTCATGAGACGCTTCTTCAGGCTCTTCCGAGGAGAGCGAGTGTGGGGTTGATGACTTTGGAGGCGATGTCTGTTTTGCGTTGACTCTCGACGCACGGTCGGTGCGCGCCGATGAGACGGAGGAGGAGGAGTTGCTGTGTGTTGCGACGCTGGGTGGGGGCTGGGTGGTACGAGCCCGCGACGATCGTCGCGGCGACATTGTTCGTGCAAGCTGACGCGGTTTACGAATGCAATAGCTGAGCAATGTACGAGCGGGAGGGAGAGCTGAGGAGCTGGGCGATGTCGGATGCGCTTGGAAGGGCGCCCGAGCGAACTAGATGAGAGGCGGGAGCGAGGACTACAAGGAGGTGGCAGCCAACTGCAACGTGACGTGAGCGATACAAGTCAATGGCAGGGCCGTCGCTATCGCGCAATGACGGCGAGCCCGTCGGCGACACAGGTGTCTGTAGGAGCGCAACGGTGACGGTGCAGGTGCGGAGACAGCGGGCCAAAAGCTCCACGAGCTTCAGAGAGCGACGACGGGATGGGTTGACGACTGGAAAAGAATGCCGAGGTGCGACAGGAACATGATATGGCTTCAAGTGGGCGTCTGGGGCGTTGGACCGGGACAATGCTGTGGGAGTGACCGAGCTGCCAGGACTCGATTTTACTCCTCACGCTCTAGCGGGCGGACGCGAACCTGCGTCAGTGGAGTGAAACGTCAGCCGGACAACATCACGTGACGTGAGTTCATCCGGCCCTTGCAGCCCTGGCATTGCGGATCCGTGCGCGGAAAAGGCCGTCGACGACTTTGGACGCGTAGCAGCAAGAGAGACCAAACACCCACGTCTGCAGCAAGAGTACGTTGAGCGCTTCGAGGAGGGAGTCGGTGAGGGGCACACAAGGGTGCTGGCAGAGGTTTCGATGGTGACAGAAGTTGGCGATCCGCTGCCGATGAGGCAGTCGCGCTAGCTCCCTTTCGCGAGAGGGGTCCCGCCGGCTGCATGCATCGTCAGGACTGTCTTTACAATCTGGCCAAGCATCATGATGCACCTCTGGGGTTATATAAAGGGAAGATTGGGTTTCTTCCTATGTCTGAAGAACTATGTTTTATGGCATCTAGGACGAAGTCACAGTAATGCATGCAGAAAGTACGACGCGCCACGTCACCTGACAGAGACTACTATTTTAATTAAAAACGCGAAACTTGACAACGTTCTCCCTTCGTGAACGTATTCTAATACCCTCTAAGCTAACTTGTTCGTGTAGCACCAAAGTTTTGTATTAGGGGTTTTCTATCTTTTTACAACTTCCAGCGAACATAGAGGGGTCCACACGAACTCTGTAATCTGAACCGCTTTAGGGAGCAATTGTTTCTTGATCTTATGGCTATTGCCCATTGAGCTGACTTGGCATCGACTAGCTACCATCACATTTCTTCTTCTATCGGGATATCCCCAGCAGTAGCTTGACATGATCTACCATACATACCCTCACGAGTCCACCCGTATCCATCAGCGCACTAACGCCATGTTACAAGCGCTACCAAACTTGACGCGAATCTCTTGCTGCAAACCACCCTCAGTATGAAAAGCCTGAATGTCAAATCCATCCTCAGTTAGACTATGCACAAGATCACCACCAAAATCCACCATGTCCATCATCAACACTTGAAAAAACTTCAGCCGCATGAGTTGGTTGATGTTAGGCTTCAGCAACTCGAGAACGCCCTGGCATAGTGAATCGTCACTGTCCAAGGTGTTGCGCCAGATGAGAACTAGTGAGTCCAGGAAGGAGTTGAGAACCGATGTCGCAGGGCTGGCGTCCGGACCTTTGTGGTCGCCCTTGACAGTAGAATTGGAGAAGTCAGTAGGATCTTCGCCGGCGGGGATGCCTATGCTTAGAACCATTCCAGCGATATTGACATACTCTTCTATCGCATGATCGCATAACTTGGCCACATCATACTTCTTGCCGACAATGTAGGCGTGGACGTGAAGGTCCAAAAGCGTGATGTTTGCATGTTCAAGTCGCATGTTGGAGTTGAAGGTATAGTTGCCTTCTTGCATGTACTGGATCATTGCCCCAATAGCATAAGGGAAGTCATCGCGAACGCGGACACAGCGTGTTTGACCTTCCTGTTCGAATAGTTAGTAACCTGGCATTATCAAGTGTGAGTCAATTACTTACTACAGATGGACCGTCCAGCATCGGAGCAAAGAAGCGAGACTCGGTACACAAAAGGTACTTGTCAATCTTCATGACTTGTTTGCCCTTGTCGAAGAAAATCACCACATCGTCTTTCAGAATATGAGAGAAACAACTGTATCGTCGTTAGCATAGACTACGTAACAGAGACAGCCTTTTCTTACTAACGGAGGTCGATAGACTGCAGAACAAAGGCGCTTGTGCGTGTTGCATTGATATTGATAGCCGATTGAAACGTCAACTCTGGCAGATGCCTGTGAGGAGGATCCTGTAGAGACAGAGCCTGGAAGTGAAGCGCACTGGGAGTGAGTGCAGCTCTTTGGCCAACCGGACTAGGTATAGCAATAGTGTCCTGATCTTCATAGATGGCCGGACCAGGTACACATGGATACGCTCCCAAGACCTGCTCATCATGGGGACTTGAGTTCTGATCTTCAGGAATAGTGTAGATTCGCTTAAAGTCATTGGTATCAACCTGTAGCTCGGATAGTCCCCGAAGAGATGAGGTGCGCGGAGGAGGCCGTAGATGACTTTTCGAATCGCCAGGAGGTTCGGTGATTCCTCTTAGCGTGGGAAAGAACAAATCGTCATTTTCTTTGTCAGATCCGAATGAGAACACGGGCGTGTAGAAAAGTTGAGGTGTCGAAGCAGCGGATAGAGCAGCAACGCTGCGTAGCGCCTTGCGATGTGAATGACTAGAGAGATCGGAAGTTCCGTTGAAGGCTTTCCCAAAGGCACGCTTACGGTGTAGCTGCATTTCGTACTGATGTCCAGGCTTGCCGCGGTCAAATCAAGTCGACTGTACCGTGTAGAGTATAAGTAGGTGGGAAACCGCCTCTCATATATCTTTAATATCTGTATGCCCTTGGAAAGCAAGGTGAAGGAGAGAAGGTGACCGGAACGTCTTATCCACGTCCTAGAGGAGGAGAAATTTGGGAGAAAGCTCGGAAGACCGGTGGTGAACGTGAGTGTTTGTCCAGCCTAGTGTTGCCTTTTCTCAAAGTAATATTTCGGGAACAACGCCCTAGCCTCTGAGTGAGAAGTGATGATTACGAGCCCAACGCAGGACTTTGTGGCGGCACTGATTAGTTGTCCAATGTGAAAGGCGTATACTGCTCGCCTTCACTGCCAACGCTATACGTGCTTACGTTGGTGTCCTATTTCCAGCGAGATGCCATTTCTTCAAATAGGTCTGCCCTGAACTCTGGTAGCTCATCCATCGACTCGTATACAAGAGCCATAGTCTTGCCTGTACCGTGGATGAAAGCTTGCACATGATCAGCGCAAAGCTTGATCGCAACCATTTTGAGGTCATCCGCGTTAGCTCTTCGCTCAGGTGCGTAGATCGGGCGAATCGCATGTAACAATTGCTCTTCCTCACCATCGGCAACCAGTACATTACCCGCAAATTCCTCGAATTTTCGAAGTGCGAGCGCCTTCAGACCAGCAACGCCATACCGCTCTGCAAGCATATACACATCCACATGGGAGCGCAAAGTGACGTCTTCAGGTACTGCAAGGTCTGAGCCTGCTAATTGATCAGTGTAGTCGAGCTGGTAACAGTATTGCATCATCGCGGCGACGGCTGCTGGATCATCGGCACTAAGGTCAATGATGCCTTTCGATGATTTCTGCTCATGTCAGCGTAGTTGAGGTGAATGACGGGACTCAACGCACTGGCGATACAACGACGGCGCAAACTCTGGCAAACCACCGCGAGTGATAGCACATAATCGCCCTATCGACATGATAGACGTCCCTCTTAGATCGCACGACTAGATCGGAACACTGCTCTCCTGTAGCAGGAGGCGAAGGCGCGTTCACAATGGGCTCGGGAGGGGATGCGACAACCAGTGTAGGAGCTGAAGTTGGCAGTGCCTCAACTTGTGGCGAATGAACCTCTTGTGGCTTGCTTTTTTGCAAAAACCGTCGGGCGATTGAGCTATTGGAGAAGGTTTTGCGATGTTTCGGACGGTAAGTTTGGTTGCTTACTGAAGCAGCGGAAGAGGCTGCTGTAGACACAGAGGCGTTGGAACTGGTTGAAGAAGTTCGATGCAGACAGCCGAAGGACGCGTCTGAAGAAGCTGTACTAAGTCTGGACGACAGCTCGGTGCGGGCTACACTTTCGCGCTTTGAGCCGTAGATAGAAGGATCGAGCCTGATAGTTGTAAGCAGACGTCCTATCGGGCCTCAAAGGACACACTCACACATTGCTATTAACAAATACTGGCGTTACAAACATCTTGGCAAAGATTGACAGATGCAAGGATATTGTGTAGGGTCAGTTCAATACGAGTTGTGTTGAACCTCACCGAGACTTCGTGTTTACTGCAATAGAGCAAAAGATCACAGAAGGGATTACATCTCTATCCGCACTGCTGCTGTATATACACACTTACAATTCCGCCCTCTCGGCGTTCAGAATTTAGACAACTCATGACCACATGGACAGAAGGGTAAAGCACAGGAAGAAACTCACCTAGCTTCCGGCACGGAGGGTGCAAAAAAGAGCATTCTGATATGAAGCTCGTTAACTGAACCAATAGCCGCAGATGCATATATTAGCCTTAGCCCCGGGCGAACCAGGATTATGAGGCTTATCGATAGTGCTTTAATACCGAAGATGCATATTCGTGGAACGAGAACAGCCGGGCGCACTCCACTGGGAGATTGTGGGGTAGCTCCCGCATGGCATTTTTGAAAGCAGTCAGCAGACTGTAGCTGAAACGGATATTCTTCTTAACCTCGCATGACACTAGTTCTAAGAAGACGGGTGCGCTCGCCCCTCTTCTCATGTAAAATTGCCCGATATTCCAAAAGGAAGATCAGTCGCATCAACGACTCACAAAGGTATTGCGACGTGGCGTGCTTGTTACGACGACGACGACGACCGACTTGGAAGCCCCAGGGACATTTGTATCATCATGCACTTATAGGTTGGATTCGCATTACAATCTGAGAACATTCGTGCACCAGGACGTGTTCGCTGTTTTAGATTGCGGATCAGGGAGCGTCTCGTGGCATCGTGGCGTCATGTCGTGGAAGAATCCGCCCGGTCACTTCTTCCATGTCTAAACCCGCAATTGAGGCTCAACTGGCCCGGTGGCGATACACTAGAACACGTCGTGTCTTTTCGTCGGAAGTATGTCGAGATGCACGTTATAGTCCCATATTTTGAATGCCGATGTTCCCCAGCATTGTAATCATGTAACGCGGCCCACGTGCACGGGTGTTGGCATCGGTGATGTCATTGTCGCGACCAGAAGGGCCGAACAGCAACAGAACGATTCATTGGCTCTTCAGACCTCTCCACTCCACAATGCGTCATATCTCGCGCTTTGATACTGATATCTTTTCATTGGTAATGGCCTGCATCTGGATGCCGCTTACATCTACATCTGCAGATCGCGAACAGGTGGGAGAAAGTGCATCATAGCGGCAAGATGAACCAATCACTCTTGAGGCATTGTCACTGCCGTCAAACGTCGCCACCAACTTTGACGTCGCCAATCTCCCGATCTGCTATCAAGCAACGGGAGTCCTAGCCTAACCCGTACAGGGCTGGCAGGTAGGCCTAGACTGACAGATCTCTAAGCGTCATTGAGCATACTACGCCTAGCTAGTGTGATGATGATGCGTTCCAACATGGGAATTGCTGTAATGCGGCTGGGGCGTTATCGAGAACTGATATAAGTAGATTCCTGGACGCCTCTGACGGACGTTTATTCACACCAGTAATTTTTCCATCTTTTGATACCCAAACACATCAATATTCATCATGCCTGGAAACGCGAATGGAATGAACGGCACCAATGGCCACACTCAGCATGCTCCGACTGGGTCAAAGAATGGTGACCAGTTCCGCAGCTACGCAGACGACCGCAACGCCTCATCAGAGGATGTTGTTTACACCACCGCCAACGGTGTGCCATACCCCCATCCGTATGAGAGCCAAAGAGTAGGCGAGAACGGCCCTCTGCTGCTCCAAGACCACCACCTTATCGACCTTCTATCACATTTCGATCGTGAGCGTATCCCGGAACGAGTAGTTCACGCCAAGGGCGCTGGCGCCCACGGTACCTATACAACCACAGAATCATTCGAGGATCTGTGTATGGCAGACATTTTCAAGCAAGGCAAATCTTGCCCCGTCACGGTTCGGTTCTCGACTGTCGGTGGTGAGTCTGGCTCGCATGACTGCGCACGTGATCCAAGAGGGTTCAGTGTAAAGTTCCGCACCGACGAGGGCAACTGGGATGTAGTCGCAAACAACACTCCTGTTTTCTTTATTCGTGACGCCGCCAAGTTCCCTCACTTTATTGTAAGCATATGCGCACTGTTCTTCGTGGTTCCGCCAGTTGCTAACTTCTATGCAGCACACTCAGAAGCGTCATCCATCAACCCACCTCACCCATGCTGACGACGCGACCAACTTCTGGGACTTCGCTTCGCAAAACCCAGAGTCCGCGCATCAGTTCTTGATTCTTTTCGGTGATCGAGGTATTCCTGATGGTTACCGCAAAATGCACGGATACCATGGCCACACCCATAAACTGCAAAGTAAAGACGGTAAAATTTCCTACTGCCAATTGCATTTCAAGTCAAAACAGGGCACTGGATTCATTACCCAGGAAGACTCGGCGAATTACAGTCCGGACTATTCCACAAAGGATTTGTATCAAGCCATCGAGAAGGGCGATTTTCCTGGCTGGGATGTCATGTTCCAAACCATGACACTTCAGCAAGCTGAGGAAGTTTGGGAGAAGCAGAAGATTAACGTGTTTGATATGACACATGTTTGGCCCCAGGATCAGTTTCCGTTGCGCAAAGTCGGAGAATTCTTTCTCAACGAGAATCCAACGAATTATTTCGCAGAAGTTGAGCAAGTTGCATTCAATCCTGCGCATCTTGTAAGTAATGTTGACGTACGAACTCTGTTTGAGACACATACTGACTTTGTACACCAATTTCCAGGTTCCAGGTATCGAGCCTAGTGCGGACCCTCTGTTGCAATCGCGCCTGTTCTCCTACCCTGATACGCACCGCCACCGCATTGGCGCCAACTATCAACAGTTACCTGTGAACCAGCCTCGTGTTCCCTTCCGTATGGGCAATTTCCAACGCGATGGTAACATGGCTTTCTACAATCAGGGATCTCGTCCCAACTACCTGTCATCGATTCAGCCGATTTCTTTCAAGGAGAGGACTGTCGATCTTGACAAAGTTCACGGAAAATTTACAGGCGAGGCGATCACCTTCCTGTCTGAGATCAGACCGGAAGACTTTAACGCACCACGCAAGTTGTGGGAGAAGGTCTTTGATGACGGCGCTAAGGAGCGCTTCATCAAAAACATCTCTGGCCATATGGAGACTGTGACGGATAAGGAGATTATCAAGCGCCAGATTGCTATCTTCAGGGAGGTGTCTGAAGACATTGCTTCACGCATGGAGAAGGCGACTGGTGTTCAGGGCTACTCTGGTATTGCCGGCTTACGCTTCAATGGTACACACAACGGTATGGCCAAGTCACAGGATAACAAGGTTGCGAACGGAATGACTGGTCTTTCTGTGAAGTACCAGGAGAAGAACAAGACCAACGGTGCACCAGTTCCAGGCAGCCACCAACAGGTTAAGGTCTAAGTGTTGTTCACTTGGGTCACGCGACAATACTGTTTCTTTAGCAAGTCTAGTAATATATATTATAACACGATCATTGTCATTCATGTTTCTGATGTGCTTGTGTACGTACTGCCTATTGTCAATTCTGCTGCAACCACAATATTAAAGACAAACGTCACAGGACGCATGTGTGTCGCTTAGAAATGGGGGGTAACGTCCACACGCCGACACTGAGTGTTAAAAATATTGATGGTATCGAGATTGACTGTTCGCAAACACTACTCATTCAGTGCGCTAATGGCCTCACTCTCAATTATCCGTTTCACATCATCACGTGCGACAACGCCATCGATTACCCTCGCATAGCTCAGATATGTCTCCCTCATACCCATCTTCAGCATATTGCCCCAACGGTAGAAGACGAGGAGATACGCGTCCACGACAGTAAAACCATCACCAACCGCCCAAGTCTTGCCTTCTAAATTCTGCTCGATATGTTCGAAACACGCTCGAACATGTTCACGGCCTTTTGCTCGTATAGCATCAAACATTGCTTCGTCTCCGACAAACCGACCGGGCCTAAACACGCATCCAAATGCCTGCCCATGTAACGTCCCGCAAAGCCATGTTATCCACTCTTGTGCTCTCGCTTGCGCAATCAACCCTTTTCCCAGTAATCCTTTCTCTGGAGCCAGCGCAGCGATTACGGAGAGGATGGCGGGTGTCTCGGTAATGAGCTCACCGTCTACCTCAAGGATTGGGACGCGGCCTTTAGGGTTTAGATGAAGATGGGAAGCGGGGAAACCACGAGCAGCGTTGAGATTTGTGGTGGAGAAGGGAAGACCCGAGGCTTGGAGTGCGATATGAGTGGCTAGCGAACAAGACCCTGGTGTGTGGTAGAGGTGGAGAGTTGGCGACATGATGTTAGCAATGATGGTTGCTATCAAAGCTATTCAGGTTGGTGGTAGATTGGGATACTTGGGTGCGCAAAGCCAAAGTCAATGGGTGGTATTGGTAAGTCTTAAAGTCTCATCTGATAATTTACCAAGTCTGCAGTTATGGTGGGTTGTCAGCCTCGAGGTAGTGGGGCTGTGCCACATCTACGAACGAATGCCTCAGCCGCACCTGCCCTCGTGTTCCCTCCACGTCACTTCCGCTCGAGCATCACTTTGTCAGCTTCTGGCCTGAATAGTAGCCACAATCGATCTCAGTAGGCCGTCTGCCAAACTTCATAATGTTACACCATGTGTAGGCCATAGACCGGTCACTGGGGCAAGCTTTGGCGAGTAGGCAACATGGACAGTATCCTTCGTCTAAGACGTTCGCTAGGCTCTCGTTAGCTTACCAAATGGCAACCACATAGTGTGTTCGAAGGCACGTGCAAGCAATAACAAACAAATGTCTTCGTAAGATTTCGATGACCAGACGCCTGACAGTTGTCAAACAACATCAAGGTCGAAACCCACTTCTATTAACGCCCGGAACACCTTCTAAGTCATTACTACTGCGTTACAGCCCTCAATCCTTGTAACACCAAACCAAACATAACACCCCTCGCAACCCTAGGTTCCTGCAAACAATCAAACACCTTACCCAATGCCTCTCCACTAGCAGCCTGTCCCATAACACTCGTTAGCGCTTGAGGCATACCCCTCTCCATCAACAACTTCTTTGCTTTGATCCTCAACTTCTCCTTCTCTTCTTCGCTCATCTCCTTGGGCCATGTTTTCAGCTCCTCTTCTGTTGGCAACCCGTTCTCCCGGATCTTTCTAATATGGTATGCTAGGCCAGCGTCAGAGGCGTTGTCGTCGAGAACGGTGGTCTGCAGGAGCGATGTGATGGAAGAGAGCTGTGGGTTTCCGGGTCGCAGGAGAAATGATTTTGCGGCGTTGAGGAGCGTGCGGCGGAGTGTCCAGGCGGAGGAGAGAGTGTAGAGTTCATTTATGACTGCGAAAAACAGTTCGATGAGGACTGTGGTCTCGGGCTCGGACAATGGCGTGTGCATGGTTGCTGTACGGGATTTGAGTGGTGATTTGGCCGGAGAAGAGATCAACGATGGAGCTGAGGGTCGACGAGGTAGTGAGGGCACAGATTCTGTTGATAGCCTCGAAGACTGCGAAGGCTTATGGGCGTGTGCTGGCTCTGATTGATTGCGCATCGTGCTATAGTCATCGGATATTTCGCTAGGCATTGGTGGCAAGTTGATGAGTTGATCACCTCCCATCATGGGACTGAGATCTTCGATTTTCTCACGCATGCTTGGTGCGCGACTATTGCTCCGGGAGCCATACCTGGAGGATCTCCCGGAACGTTTGCCATCGCCGTCAGGATTATAAGATGGTCGGCGTTCCATGGGCGCCTCACGACCTGGTTGCTGATCGATGACGGGCGAATGAGGATCGCGTACAGAATCTATGGATGTACGTTTGGTTACCAGGGACAAGGTGCTCTCTGAACGAATATGCGTAGGAAGTTCGGAAACGGTCGACTCTGCTCTGCTTTGTCGTGTTTGGATTGGCGCCGTGTTGGACGATGTACGACTTAGGGGACTTCCGGTTGCGTTCGCATTGGCGATGTTGCTGACTGACTCGCGGTTCTTCTTTCCTGAAAGCGGTGCTGCTACGCTACCTAGTACTCCAGTAACACCACCGAAAAGAGCCTTGCCACCACCAGCAACTTCTTTGGGGGCCTTTGAAAGTACGCCCATCATCCCCTTACCAACTGTGTCGAAGGTCTGACCCGCCCAACCGATTCCTGGAAAGCCACCACCAGGGGTCTTTCCGGAGCCCAATTCTTTGTCCAAGAAGCGCTTCATACCTTCACTTTCAGCAAGTGGTTGGTATTTTACGGCATCGTTGAGATAGCGCTCCAACTCTCCACGCAATGACGCCTTGGTGTGACCTTTCCATGGTGGCAGTGTAGCGTGTGCTTCGTTGAAGCCTGCAGTGCCGGTGATAGCTGCTATCCGACGTATGACCTCATGTAATGTTTCAAACTCGGCGTACTTGCGTGCCGTCATCCACCCAGTGTGGTGGTTTGACTTTGGTTCGATCTGAATCAGATACTCTGCCGTTGGTTTGGCCTTGATCGTGCCCTTCTCTCCAGGCATGCTATCGTCAAAGATCGACATGGTACTGTTGTGCAGTGTTAGTGGTGGCGGCGCAGGAGGCGGGTTGTCCATAAGTGCGGTAGGCGGTTGGGGTAGTACAAGCTGGTCGAAGCTTGTGAATGCTTTCTTCTCTTCTTGGGCCGGTGGTTCTTCGGAGCCCCTTGGTGGAGATGCTGGTGTGGCTTCTGAGAAGGATCGACCAGAAAGCCCAGATATGCCCAAGTCCGTATGGTCGGCATCACCATGCGCGTCGCTCTCCGAAGACGACGGGGTGACTATCCCTTGAGTGGTACTCTCGGATTGGTCATCGTTCAGGGTTGACGTGGATGCACTTTGCCGTTGCTGCTCCTTGAGCCGCTTTGCATCTTCTTCAGCAATCATCTGACTCAGAAGCTGAGCCTCTCGCATTGCATCGTCCATGGCCTCCTGGGCTTTGCTCATGACGCGCTTGTGTTCCCTCTTCTCAGCCGTGGCCACTGTTTCTGTGTCGTCGAATTCCTTCTGTGCAGCCTTCTTTACATTCTGCAATTGTTCTGAAGAACCCTCGACGCCTGCGTCAATGGCATTCAGGAGCTCCGGCTCGCCTTCTTCCAAGAGATAGACGATCCATCCATTGATCCACTCTGGCTTGGAACAGCTCACGACAATCATCTCAAGGATAAGCTTGGCTAGTATTTGGTGTAGGAAGGTCCGTGCCGGCATGCAGTTGTCTAAGACGCGTACAGCGAGTTAGCGTAGGCGCATGGGTTCGGCATAGCAAATGTACTCACACGTCTTTGGTTCCAAGTAGTTCTGTAGAATATCTTCAGCTGCCACACTGAACTGCTTCATCTGGTATTCTGGGTCCAAAATGTTGGCCAGGGTGCTATCTCGCTTCATCTTGAGGTATATGTCGACTGCTTCAGTCGGCACATCGCCGGGCGAGGCTTGGATTGCAGCGGCGATCTCTTGCAGCAATATGATGAAGAAGGAGGATGAGCGCGTCACAAAGTCAAGGAAGTTGTCGGCTGGTCGCTTTCGGGACAGGTGTGCAGAGATGGAAAGCATGAAAGCGGTGAAGGTCTGGCGGCACGAGTTGGGGAACGAGTCTTCGAAGGGCAGTAGGGGTGAATACCACCACCTGCGTTATATTAGAACAGCATCTAGACACTGCGCGGAGGACATACTTGACATAGTCACGAATGACTGCATCCGTCAACTCCGCCAGCGCAGCGGCCGTCTCTGGCTTGAAGCCCGAGTAGTCGAGCGTCTTGCCCGAGTACAGCTGCACGTTGAAGTCGGAGCTGGCGTCTCTGGTGTGGCTCTGCTCGTGCGTCTTGTCGCTCCGCCAGTCGAGCACACGCTGCGCTATGTCGACGGCCAGTTGCCGCTTCCTCGCGTCGGCCCTCTTTCCCTGTGTCTCCCTGCTGTCGCCGCCATGGTGCCCCTCCCACGTCGCGTGCAGGACAACGCCGCCTACAACGCCTATGAGGACCAGCCCAACGCGGCCGAGGATGAGATAGGTGCCTGCGCCTAGGCCGGCCAGACAGGCGCCGAGCGTCTCATTGCTCGCCGTCGCCAAGAAGTGAAGGGTGCGATCTGTGAGGGCCTTGACGTCCAAGGGCGGCGCGCTCGACTCTGTCTTTGTCGCGTCCCTCTCCGGCGTCACGGCGGAGCCATCGGCGAGCGAGTCATGGTGGTCATGGAGTGCGGAGGTGGGCGGGCTCGGGGGTGGCTGAACGGGGTCGCTCATGGTGGTTGGATGCGCGCCAACATTGGGGTTTGCTGCTGTGCTGGGGAGAGTTGTGACCTGCACTCAGGCATGGTACAGTGCAGCAGACTGGAATAGGTGGCGTCTCCAACGGCTGACCATGGCGTTCTGGCCGTTTCACAGCTGCCGCTTGTTGATCGCAGAGCGCTGAATAGTTGCGCCGAGCCCGCCCCGAGCGTTGAATATCTATTTTCGAATCCCAACATCGCTCCCATCTTCCCTCGCACCCGCCGCCTGTAGCAGCCATGTCCGGTGATCCTCCCAACGATCCCGAGATCCTCGCCCATGTCGACAAGTTTTGGGAGGGCCGCAAGCCTAGCAGCCCCATCTACCAGTTCCTGCTCGACGACATCAAGCTGACCTATGCCTCCAAAGGCGTCGTGCGCGCGCAGCTGCCGCTGACCAAGAACCATGTAAACACGCACGGAAGCATCCATGGCTCAGTCTCTGCCACGCTGATTGACTGGGTGGGCGGCATAGCTATTGCTGCTTGGGACAACAGGACCAAGACGGGCGTATCTACCGACATCCACATCTCATACCAGAGCGGGGCAAAAGATGGCGATACCATCGAGATTGAAGGCAGGGCTGGCAAGGTGGGCGGAACCCTCGCCTTCACAACAGCGACCATATGGAAGCTCGTCGATGGCAAGCCGGGCCCGATTGTAGCCACGGGCTCTCACACCAAGTTTGTAAAGGTGTGAGCCGTCTTTTGTAGAACGCCATCTTCTTTGAGGTCTCGTCCAGCTCTCCATGGGCGATCGAACTCCACTCGGATCGCGAAGATTAACCGACCCTCTCGCTACCATTTCGTGCCCAGCGTCACAGCGACGACAGCATGAGGATGTGGGAGGGTCCTACATATCTCTTAGATGACCAATGCCATGAAGGTTTCGACCCATAAATCGTCTCGTCCACTGTTGGTACATCGTGTTGTGTGTGCAGAACCTCTCACGCTAGCGTGGGAGTGGTTGCAGCGGTCGTCGTCTGTACTTGAATATGACGATCTTAGTCGGCTTCGCTTTTTTCGGCGGCGGCTGGTTCTCTTTATCGTCGTTCAGCCGCTTCGCCGGAACAACATTACGCACCACGGCCATCTTGCTCTCCTTCTTCTTCTTCTTCTTCTCCTTCTTCTCCTTCTCCTCCTCCACCACCACCTCCTCCTCCTTCTCCTCCTCCTCCTCTTCTTCTTCTTCTTCTTCTTCTTCTTCTTCTTCTTCTTCTTCTTCTTCTTCTTCTTCTTCTTCTTCTTCTTCTTCTTCTTCTTCTTCTTCTTCTTCTTCTTCTTCTTCTCCCGAATTGCACCAGAAATCGGGGGGCGGAGGCGTGTGGCCCGTTCGGGCAGGCACGGCACACAGATTTGTGCCGCCAGGCCTCGACAACACTACTGTGGACATATAGCTACTAATAACGCATTAGACATAAAACACATCATCAATCACCAGACTTACCTCATGTCGACTATTGAATTGCTGAAGACATGAGGCAAGTCCTGCGGTCTAGTTAAACCTCACTGTGCGCACGTCCCGCAGAAGGTGAGATGAATGGGAAGCCACGATGGGCAGGATGGTACAACGGACAACACCGAGTACGAACATAAACTTCACACACATTGGATAATGATTCCTCGAGCTTCCGGGCTCTTTCCTGCGTTGTTTCTTTCATGAGCTATCACGATACAGGCGTTTTGACAGTTTCGGGTCAGAAAAGGATCTTGTTTTGTGCACGGGCAGAGAATACGACATGCTTTTGCGTCAGTTCGTTTTATACCATTTCTTGGAGCATTGCGACGGATTGTATCTTTATGTGTTTCTCAACCTCAAATGTGTCATTACGGTTGCATTGAACAAAGTCATATCCTCGTGATGGTGGCGCTTGTGCCTATGGTGAGAAGATTTTGTTGGCTTGTTCGGAAGCTCAAGGGAGCGGCCAGTCGCCCCCATGAGGGCTCTGTATATTACACAGTAATTGATGAATTCCGGCATGGTGCTTAATATTCTATGGGTCTACTGCGTTTACTGTATTCTACCTAGGTATTCTCGATATCGACAGACTGTGTGAAACCCCGAAACGATGTTGATACAACCTCGGAATGTCAAGCATAGAACACGTCATGGCTGGCACGATGCGTCTCTTCCGTTAGGGTGCGCCGCGCTACAGTAGTTTTCTGGAGGGGTAGCTTGCTTGTCAGTCGACTGCAGACGCTGAGCGAAAACCGATGATTGAGACGGAAGAAAATTATTTTGCTCCAATCAATTAACGTGAATTGTCTTTCTGCCAAGCATTGTAAACATTGAGATTATCTACCTGTATACCGAAAAACTTCTTGACCGTCCTTTTCGTGCATGATCTGACGTGTCTAGATGCCTCGACCTCAATATTGTTACAATCATCCCTATCCTTGATACAAATCCCAACAACGAGCCCCAACAGGAAAATCTAGACGTAATTCTGTGACCCAAAACGCTGGAAGTTCGCAGTCCAGCAACTCTGAGAGAGTCCCGGCCACCCTCTGACATCTGTGCCCTTTGTGATCAACCTCTACGCTAATGGTCTAATGTCCACCATTGCCCCTGTGTAATGCTTATTCAGGAAGCATGCTGGCAGCCTCTTTGTATTTGCTGAAAGTCTTCCACGCCTCTTCCGTCTTCTTGATCCAGTATAACACAAGTGCTTTATTCTCTTTCTCCCACAATCGAACGTACTTCAATGAGGCACCGCTGTTCAATATCCACGCACCAAGTTCTTGGAAGCTGATCCGCCGACCCTCGTACTTTGACTTCGTGTCGAGCTTGAAACCAACCTTATTCATGACATCTGGCTGTATATAATAGAGGATGTATTGTCCGTATTGGTGAATCCAGCGTCCAAGATCTGTGTCTCGAGGGAGCCGGTTGTTGGCGTACGTTCTATGGGCAGCGACAAGAGTCCAAATGAACTTTTCAGTTGAGAGGCTCGGAGGGAAGTGGAAAGCCTTCTTCAGCTGTCCAAAATCGCGGCTACTGTTTCTGGTCAGTATCTGGATTACGTTCAGACATTAGGGCTCACTTACCGCTTCATGTGGCTGTCCCAAGTTGCCTTGCTGTCGGTAGCGGGCGTCACAGTGAACCAGTAGGCTTCTTTTGACATGCTTCCTTCGACGTACTTCGGAAGACAAGCCACCACCATAAACTTGTCGCAGGCCTGCTCTCCAACACTCCAGCGGTAACGAATAGGTGGGCGGTTAGAGCGATGCCAGAATCGATTCCACCCTGGCCCGCTTGCCGGTGTGAGGGGACATAGGACAACGAGGTTTCGACCAAGTTGCTTAGCGAGGCGTGCGGCGTTAGGTTCGTTCTCAAAGATTGCAGTGCCGCGATCTGAGGGGTGATATAGGGTATCTTTCATGTGGAATTGAGAGTCTTTGACTGCCAGCTCGTCCAGTCTCTGGTCTCGCTGCCTGACCAAGGCCTCCGTAAATTGTGCTCCGGTGAAATCCTTCACGCCCGTTGCGTTCAGACAATCGGAAATGGCTGACTCCCAACTATCATGATGCTTCCATATCAGCTTTCCCGCCTTGTATGTGGGCATCGGCGGGTGATACGTTCCAGTTATGTACTCTCGCTCGTCGATGGGTTCGGGGTGGAAGGTAGGCCGCAGGTGAGATTCAGCTGGAGAGCAGGGATGATTCCAAGATCCTACGTTGCGCGTTCCCGGAGCAATCGAATTCTCAAGAAAGTATGGGCCTTTATATGCGGGGGCCACTTTGGATTTTCTCCTCGGTTTTGCGAGGCTGATGTTGTAGTTCGGCGGGAGAGGACCATGGTCCTTGATGACCTGAAAGTACTGCTGCGCTGGAGTACTCTTCACCAACACGTGTTGTTTTATGTAATCGATGAGCGGCTCGTCAATGGGAATGTAATTTCGGGGTACTGAGGCTGACATGGTTCCAATTGTGTAATGTAACAAAACCTTGAAAGGGATGAGCTCTGAGACAGATATTGACCGCAGTTGACAACGTAAAGGTAAATGCCAGCGGACCGGGAAGTAATAGAGTTGAATTTCTGAGTTCGTGACTCATTGACTTTGCGGGCGGTCAACACGCGGTCGCATTGCCTACCGTCACAACTGCCTACCTAGCGTTTGCTGCAAGGGTCCATAACGCAAAGTCAGCAGGACGATGCGGTGAAATTCTCTTTCACGTCCTTATTTAGGTAACCACTAGGAGATTTGTCGAGATTGAGTACACTCTCACCTTCCCTCTACCCCTACCCTCCTCTCTGGAGCTCTTGACTGTCCGTTCTCCAAGCACAATTACTCCACCTCACGCAAAACATGGTCTTCATACCAGTCGGCGTACACGATCCCCTCCGGGCGGCCTTCAGCAACGGATGGGACAACTGGCGAGATGGTGCCCCAGTCGGACCTGCGCCTCACACGCTTGAGCCAACCGCTCACGCCTGTGAGATTCTCGAGGACTTCAAATCCAGAGACGGCCATAAAATTCACTACAAGAAAGGCATGCAAGGTTGTTATCTAGCTGAGCACAACATGACAGATGGCACACGCATTGCGCAGATCTTCATCCACGGGGTGACTGAATGGGGCCCCGGGCCTGGTGAGAGAAAGGCATGGGTCCCGTACGACAAGATCAAGATCGGTCCGGAATGGAACACCAACCTCAAAGACTGGGCTATCACCGTGGACGCGTTGTCAGGTTTGGGTGCTGTTCGATGGAGGACTCCACCGTCGGTGGGGTCCGACATAGTTGCTCAGAGCGTCACCATGCTGATCCAAGCCTTCATCGACACACCTGCGGATTTCATGTGTGGTGCTTTCGAGAGCTTGGTTGCCGATTATACGGTGGCTGGTCTTTCCCAGATCATCTTGGGTGGCATGAAGGATGCAGGAGTGTATGAAACCATGTTTAAGGCAAACTACACCTCCATGGAACTTCTCGGCACCGCTCGTTACCAGATTAATGCCTCCAAAGGCTACAACAAGACAGGCGTATACATGCGGATGCAGACATCGACAGCTAACGCAAAGTACTGGAAGCGAAACACCAAGTAAGTTGTACATCACATCATATTCTACACAACCATTCATCAAAGACAGGTATGCCTACGTGGGTAAGACAGAGGAAGATTTCAGATCCAGGTTCTTAAGCCACCCTCGTGGGACGAACAAGTATTCAATCCTGAATCAGAATTCAACAACTCTGACTTCATTCGCTCTCTGCGTCTTGAGCAAAAAGCACCCAACCAAGCTCTTTTACCTCGCAGAGCAGGTTCTTCTATGTTTGCTGGGAACCTATCGGTCAGAGATCCTAAACGCAGTTTCTTACATGAATCAGACTACGATTGAAGATCAGAGTAAGCCACCAATTATGCCAACATTGTTTGGTTTGTAAGCTAAACTTTGAACTCACTCTAGGTTCTCAGTTTCTATCCGACATAGCAGCTGCCTCGTATTGTCTAAAGGTCTCCTCCAAGGTCTTTCAGCAAACCGGCTACGTACCAGCTCTCATGCGCCCAACCTTCGGGATCAGTGAGGGAGCGAATACGCGTTCCCCCATCGACGAAATGGAATCTAGATTAGACAAGATGCTTTTCATACGTACAGATCATGTCTTGCAAGACTATCACACCAGAAAGCCAATCGAGGTGGCTGAATTCCGCCGTCATGTCCCGAGAGTAGCCAACTATATCGATCACCTCTTCGTGAAAGGTGGCAGAAGCATATTTGCGGTCCTCAAGGTCCCTCCCAAGTTCGAAAGCGACAACAAAAAACAGAAGCGACTGATTCATGCGGTCCATGTTAGTGCTCCTATCGGCAGCACCGATGGAATCAACTACCCCAAACCCGGTGCCGGTGTGCAAGTTGTTGTCGAAGCTCGACTAGATGGCAAGGCCCATAAGAACTCATGGGCACGACTTCCTCAAGTCGGCATATTCAAAAATTGGGATCAGGCAAATTCTTTTGCTGTGCGGATTGAATGGGAGACAGAAGAAGGTTCAGGCGTATGGAGATACCGATACATTCAATGTACCAAGTACCTTCACACGATGGCAGATAGCGGCGTGCCTGGCTCAGTGCTACGGTACGCCAAGGGCATCGCCATCGTACATTGGCTGTTTGGTGTGCAACCGAGCTGGAACGAGAGTTGGATCAAGAAGCCAGGAGGACGAATGCGGGTTCTGCAGGCAGAGTACAACTTGATGACACAATCGGTTCGATTTATTCGTCCGACCAAGCCATATAACGTCTTGTCGTTTGCCAGGAACTCGAGTCACAACATCGCTATGCAGATGGATCGTTTCAACGTGGCAGGAAGGCGAGAAGACTGCAAAAGCCAGAGAGCGCGCCAGCACTGCGACCTCTGCCTTTTCCTGACATCGATGATTGGAAACTCGGTTTCGAAAATCTGTACAAAGGAAGGGAAAGACAAGAGAATCTGTACCGAGTGCCGCGAATGGGGCCTGCCCTTTTGCTCCTGGACATCATGGCTCCGAAGCTATATAGCTATGCAGGGTCGTAATGGTCCTGACCCTACCGAGGAAGACTGGGTACTCTACAGGAGAGTTGAAGCCGCTCTTTATGCTTCACCCCCAGCAGACACCACAGGGTTGACCATCGAGCAGGATTTGGTGTCGCTGCAAGATGCTGCTGCAGACGACGGAAGCGACGATGAGGATATGGATGATCTGGAAATCGCTGAAGATGATGTCATGGAGTGATTGCAGTGCAACCCGCTGGTGTTGTGCCGGTGCACAGGGTGTACGCCCTGGTGCAGGACGGATTCTGTGCTCAACCCAGATCTCCGAGGCATAAAATGGTTCTCAACACCAGTATGCTGTAATACCTCACTCTTTACCTGTTATTTTTGTATAAAGAATCTCCACACAACAAGAATTGTTCTTACCATGCGTATTCTCCCTGCTCAGCCGACCGTCCTATGACGATCTCATGCTTCGGTGAAATATACTGTAGAAGTCTATCTCGAGCCTGACGGAGCTGCTCCTCACTAGAGGTCACTGTGAATTTTGGCCCGCTTGTAGAGGTCATCTCGCACGACGATGCGATTCTTGCGGGCAGACGCGGAGGTAGAGGCACATGAGAAGTTGTGCGCTCCGCCGCGTGCTCTCGCAATCTAGGGTCGAAGAAAGCAGTTGCTTTCCCAAAGCGAATAAACATCTTCGGGCCTCAACTTCCACCAGTGACACGTGGATGATGCATCGTCATTACTATGTTGCCCCCTCTACAGTCCTCCTCATGTCTTGCGAAGAAACCATGAAAGGCGTTAGACAGCTGCAGAAATCGGAGTGATACAAGACTTTTAAGTTTACCAGGCTTCAAACACAAGATGAACATGATACGCACGATTTACGCCGTAAGGTTGATCTCCTTGTCAGCCTAAACCTCGGCAATAGTCCCAGCTCCCTCATTGAGCTAGACTGGAAACCACGATCATGACGCGTGAAGCTGACCCACGCGTCCTCAACACCAGATACTGGCTTACTTTGTATTCGATTCGTGCATGTCGTCGAGCACAGATACGCCACATTTCTGACATCATTTTCTATCGTAATTGCAATCACGTCCTAGCAGATCAGCCCTTTCGCTTCAAAACCAAAAGTTCGAATATGACGCCTTCAAGTGGCCGTAAAGTTTGGCGTTTCACTATCTTATCATGCTTAGCCCTCTATGCCGTAAAGACACCGATGTCCTTCGGTGTGTCTCGCAATCGCATTCTTCGAATGTAAGTGTTCAGCACGTTCCACCTAAACCCCACATTATTTTCGCTCTGATCTATCTCGAAAACTCGTCGCAGCTGTTGTTTCAAACACAGGACGAACCAGTCATGGATATAGCTACCGACGTACTCAAATTTCTCCTCGGCATCTTCGCTGGCCTGATCGGAATCTATCTTGGCTTCGTGTCGCTTCTGACGATCCCAACACTACAAGACCACGTCATCTTCTTGCATCGAGTGATCCGAACTTGGGGTCAGGACATAAACATACCCGAGCAATGGGGCTTTCTGCGCAATCAAGTTACGCCATTCCATCTCAAAACTCCAGACGGCGAGACTCTACACGCGTGGCACATCCTGCCGCTGGAAACATACCGCCAACACCAAGCCCAGCTTCGTGGAGAGCCAGTTGGACTCTGCGCAAATCTTGAAGAACGAATTTCTTTTCAGCTTCTTAAGGACCCTACAGCACAACTAGTCATTTATCTCCACGGTGCGGCAGGCACACTGGGATCTGGATGGCGGCCACAAAGTTATAGGGCCATGAGTGCGACGTCAACCAACGTACATGTCCTTGCCATTGACTACCGCGGGTTTGGCACCAGTACGGGATGGCCTTCGGAAGCCGGCCTCCTTACTGATGCCCTTACGTTGGTCAATTTCGCGACCGACACTGCAGGCATACCACCAGAGAGGATCGTAGTATTTGCTCAGTCCATGGGTACTGCGGTAGCAATATCGCTCACACATCACCTAGCCTCACAACCTACCCCTATTGTTCTGGCGGGAGTTGTACTGGTAGCGCCGTTCGCCGATGTAGAATCCCTGACCCGGACGTACAAAGTCGCTCGCACCCTTCCGCTCCTTTCTCCTCTCGCGGTCTTTCCGCCGCTCATGGCTTTGCTTAATAGATTTATTCTTACCAAGTTCCCTTCCAAAGAGAAGCTCGCCGCAATTATTCATCGATTAGACAGCATCAAGGTCAACGCCAAACGACGGAGGTACAACATCACGTTGATACACGCCAAAGATGACTATGATATACCATGGAGTCATTCGGATATCTTGTTCTGGCACGCTGTTAATGCCGCCTCTGGGTCAACCTCGTCTATAACGTTTGAAGAGCTCGAACACATCAAGGCGAAAGAGAAGACAGCGTTGGGTGCTGGTGGTTGGGAAATCGAATGGAAAGGGAAGAATGGGATCATCAGGGAGCAGATCGTTGAGCATGGTTCCCACGATCGTATCATGAGCTACCCCATCGTCAGCCTAGCTATCTCAAGGGCTCTTCATGAGTAGTGCAACATGTGATGATTGCCAGGAACTCACGGCTTGACTGCAGCGATCAACTCTCACCACGCCGGTCCCGTGGAATTCCAGCTTCATCGTCGTATCACCGCACCAACTCAGTTCGACCGCCTCTGCATCATCCTAGATCTTCCCACACAGAACACGTCGAGACTGAGGAACAATACGCCTTCTGCGCTTCCTCCATCGTTTTTTGTACAAAGCAGCCGCAGTCTTGACCTTTTACAACTAGCAGCCCTTTTCGGCCCGATCCATACCCAACAATACAAGACTGCTAGCAGTGCGGTGTCATGCAGTAGTCTTGACACACAGCCCCGCACATCCACGGCAACCTTCCAAATCAAGTAAGCATCATCTAGGAGTTACCGCTTTGTTATCATCAAGGCATCTTAGTCTGATCGTGTACAAGCTTGTCTCGTTTCAGAGCAAAGCTATGGCACAGCGTGACAGTGTTCATGTCGCGCCTGCACGGAAGTTCTTTACGCACGCAATCAGGTGAATTCTCTGCAGAGCAAACTACTTCCGTGTCCCAAGTAGTCCGATAGGAAGATATTGTTTTGTATTCACGCATTGTTCGCTGCATGTGTATGCCACAGTAGCCCAACATCACTCGTACATTGGCAAGAATGAATCTCGCGCTATCCCCAAAACGCTACTTGCTTGGCGAAAGTGGGTCGCGTCGCGTCGAGCCCTAAGCTTCCGCGCCCCATCTACAACAATCTCCTCCAGCGGACCTCGCTACAGTACTCAGCTGGCATCTTCCATCTCTCTGTACGTCTCTCGTGCCCATGCATAGAACGCAATAGGTGGGTCAACCCCTTTGCGGGCAAGATACTTCCACCAATTCTCCCAGGCATGCCGCCGTATGTACCCCAGCCGATACGCGACATGCCATCCGGTCGGCAAATCGAACGTATACTGCAGCTCCTCCAACGTCCGCATCCTCGTCTCTGGAACGAACAAGTACACCAACACGAAGGCGACCAAATTCAGGCCTGCAAAGATTGAGAATGCCGCGGTCGGCCCAATAGTATTTAGCAGGAACGGGAAAACCAAGACCAATATACCAGCGCCTAAGAGATTGATAGCGACGGAGACAGCCATACCGGCTTCTCTCGACACGAGAGGGAAGACCTCTGCTGCAATCGAGAATGGGGACGTACCCGCCGTCGGAGCATAAAAGGCGACGAAAATGACCGCGAAGATGCTAATCAATGGGGTTCGGGCGGACTCTGACTCAGAGATCTTAAAGAGGAAGGCAAACACCAAAATTGACCAGGCCATGTTTGGTAAGCCGAGCAAGAGCATAATCGACCGTCCTAATCGGTCGGAAGACCAATATGCTGGTAGCCCAAACACATAGTTTGCTGCTCCGAAGGCCAGACCTATTATCGCGGCAATTTGGTCGCTGTTGTCCGTAATGGCATTCTTCCAAACTATGGTGCCGAGGAACGCTATTGTGTTAACGCCAGTTAGTGTTTGAGTGATCATGGAGACCGAAGCGCTTAGCAATGCCCGCCGACACCGTTTATTGGACCACAGCTCTCTCAAACGCTTATAGTAGCCGTTGACACCAATGTTGTACGTGTAGGGGTTACTCTTCTTCTTCGCTCGTTTGACTTCAATATCGAGGTTTAGGCTTGTAACGTCGCTCCATCTTCTGTCCAGAGTCGCAAGCTCGATGTTGGTATTGTCGTTTTGCTCAGTCCGCGATCTGTATTGATGCTGGTTGTTACTTGGCTCCGTTGTTGTTCCTTCATTCGTTGCTTCCGTATTGGAACCTTGAATAAGTCGACCTGGCGGTATGGGCGCTTGCGAAACGACCGTTTCGAGCTGCACGCGATCTGTTATTGTCAAGGATGGCTCACCAGCGAAGCTTGACGTGCTGATGTCTACACGTTCGGCCAGGTTACCAAGTTGGTTGACATCGCCCTTCAACAGTCGGCTTTCGAAATCCAGTTGTGCATGCGCATACATGAAATCGCGACTTGCCAACAACTGCGTGGTTTGAACCTGCTCAAACGCCTCCAGTGCTTTGCGGTAGTTTCCATGCTTCATCAAGTACCGAGGGGATTCCGGCATCAAGTAGATCATGACCAATAACGGGATCGTGGGGATAAGCACAGTATTTGTCAGGATGCGCCATGCGGATGCGGAATTTTCAACGTAAACCACGACCAACAAATTCGCAAGAAACCCGAGAAAGATGCCTAACGGATCAGTATCCCATGTCGCTCGAGTATATGAGAGGGAACCGTACCTGCTGCATCCGCCAATTGCCAATTCGCCAGAATTGCGCCCCGAATATGTTCCGGCGATATTTCAGCCGCATATATAGGAACTACGTAGCATCAGTATCTTTGGCGCAAACAAAGCCAATGCTCTTTTACCTATCGATGCTTTTGCGCCCAAAGCTATTCCATTGATAGCCCGACAGGCTGCGAGCTGGCCTACATTATGCGTAACCGACGCACCGATTGTTGAGGCTATTGTGATAGCACAGGAGAGCATTACACTACCTCGCCTCCCCAAGAAGTTCTCTTGCAATGGATCTGCAAGAAGTGTGCCAAAGAGGCCCGCGGAAAGCAATGGTATGGCGTTCAGCATTCCAAAAGTCCAGAGGTCAGATGAAGGACATCCATGGTCTTTGCGAAAACATAGCTTGAACTCGTCTGGCATACCATAGGCGGTGCCATTGTTCACACTTTGCGTCCAGCCCTGAATCATTCCTGCCAGACTTGCCGTCATGATCGTCGCGCGCAAGAATTTGGACTGCTTCCAAAATCCTGTACTCTTGTCCTTCTCTTGCTCTAGAAGCTTCTTCTCCCGCCCTGTAAGCTCGTCCGCATATCTGCTGATAGTCTCAAACTTATCTCGAGCGAGTCGAGCGCCGAATCGAAGCAACTCGTATCGATCTTTGAGATCTGCTAACGCCGCAAATTGCCAAACGTATTCTTCTAGCTCGGTTCTTCCGGTATTAAGATCGGCTTTTGTATCATCGAATGTCAAGAACGGATTGTCTATGCTACAGACGGTCAGCCACACTCAAAATATGATGATTCGTGCACATACGTCTGTCTTGCGCCTGTTGAGCGTATTCGATTTGTCGCCAGTCTTCGATTACCAACTGTATTTGCACGATCTACTGCTCTCATAGTGGGCATAGACTCTCTACCGGAATATGCTGCTACAAGCCTAATTTGGTGTGCGGCGACATGCCGGATTCAACAATATATGTCCATTTTCCGCAATAGGCTGACACCAACAAGGCTGACCGGTGCTTCCAACTATGGAGCCCGATCATCCATACGAGATGTATTGTCGAGGTCCTTCACCGTCATTCTGCCTACATCCAATTTCCAAAGGGAGGCTGAGCAATAGGTATGAGTTCTTGTGATCCCTTTACTCTCCACGGATTGGTTGCCTTGCATTTACTTTTGTCTGCACTCTTGCCCCTTCCTAGGCGGCGCAGGCCTAGAAGATGATGGCCAATCAACAGACCCTACCAACCCGCGTTCGGCACGAAGGTCAGCTACTGCATCACACTGTGGCTTTAGTTTTATTGGTGACACCTTGTTCTTCCTTCAGCCTTCTTTCCAGCAGACTGCCTTGTGGTTTACCTGACAGGGCTGCGCGACTGCGAGAGCGTCTGTTATACCCATTGCATCTCTAGCTAACTAGATGAACGCAGGTTCGCGCGACTCTGAGATGAATCCCCAGATCATGAGATCCGAGACATTGTGTATCCTTGCTGGACCAGGCGATACCTGCCGTCGCGGGTAAGCTGGCAGACGGCACGTCAGCGGCTGCCTGCTTGATCTGCAATAGTGCACTGTCGAGCTTCCCCGCTTACCCCAGGCACGCCTAAGGTCGCCCTTTGCTCTTGGCGCCTCGGACCCAGCCCTTACCCGGCATAGACCCGTCTGACCATTTCATACCTGACACTTACGTCAACTCCTCTTACACGTGTGCTTCTCACATTACCCGTCCCTCCGTTCGTTTTTGGTCACAGCCAGACTCCACGCGTTCTGCTCAGCCTCTCCTCCATTCTTGTGCCTCCTTACGATATGCATTCTTCAAGTAAAGCCAATACTACACATGTAACGTTTGTTGCACTTCTGCACGCACATCTAGCAATATCCCTGTGAAGCCCCATAGCCCTGTTCTAAGCTTTTTTGACGATCCGCTTCAAAGTAGACCTCGATAGCATTTACGAACCTGCAGCGACGATGGCCGAGCCGGTCTCAAGCATAATTACCATCGCACTGCTCGGAGTTGCCGTCGTCAGAGGATGCAAGACCTATATTGACGCTGTGCGGGAGGTAGACGAACTAGTCGACCGGCTTTCCCGCAAAGTAACGGACCTGCATAGAATGGTCAGCTTCCTCAACTCAAGATACCAGGAAGCCGAGCATGACAGCGCTAGCGAGCAGTCACTTATTGTACGCGGAAAGATCACGCAATGTCGCAATAAATTTCGAGAGATCAAGCCCAGGATATTGGAATTGAAAGCTCGGAGTACGGAGAGTTTTGTCGACAAAATCTACTTGGAACGCAAGATGAATACGGTAGCCAAAGACATCGAGGTTGCGGTCGATGAGATACGACAATGCCTGATGGACATCATTCTAGTCACTGGAGTCTGTTCGCAACTGTTAGTACAAATCTACCTTCGATTTCAACACTGCTAATATACTATTTTAGTGAATTCACCTCATATATGCGCCGTGCTTCAGAATCTACGGCAGCAGTAAGTTGAATGATAACTGGTTTTATGGAAAAGCTCTCGCTGACAATCACAACCAGCCACCCATTCCACGAGACAGTATCCACAATCAAACCGTTGAAGACGATTCCACCGTGCTCGGCAGGTGGCTCTCAAACGCGGAAACCATCTTAGAGCCAGTACAGATCCGTAGAGACTCGACCACGACTTCTTCATCGCGCCCCTCCGTCTCTTCCTTATCTTCAAAAGATATTCTAGCTCAACCGGACGCCGATGATGAAAGCATACTCTCAGCACAAACACCCGTCACCTTAGATCCAAGCGAAGATTGGAGGGATTTTCACAAAACGGTATTGCGATGCGAGGATGGCTCTGCTCTGATTAAAGAGGTCAATATAATGCTGGAGAAGCATCCACAGCCGAGTGCACTTGTCAACATCCTGGGGGACCACCAACGCGCCCCCCTTCATCTCGCAGCCATGCGCGGCAATGTTGAGCTTGCCCACATTCTACTCAACTTTGGTGGGGACATCCACGCTAAAGATACCGAACCCGCTTCTGTACTCGATCACGCTCTCGCGAACAAACAAGTCGACTTCGTTACCCTTCTACTCGACAAAGGGGTGGATGAGACGGCGATACTAGATCGAAACATGGACCAGTTGAAGGAGATAAAAGGTATCATTGCTTTCAGAAAGACGCGGGAGCAAGACCCTTCACGGGAAAAGACAAGAAAATCCAGTTGGGGCTTCGGAAGAAGGCGCTCGAAGTGAGGCCTGCCTGCTCTCCGAGAATCACGATCCAAAGCACAGCCGTGAATCGAAGTCAGGACTACATTGATTCTGCGATGTTTACACAAGATCACATCGTTCTCGAAAATACGCTCGTGTCACTAGCCGATTCGATCGTGCTTCAAGTAACCATAAAACAGCACGATTACGGACTTGCTGATCTACGACGATGTCACCCTAGGCTTTCAGTTTATGATGTGCCGTACCCACGTACTATCGCCTAATATAATGACCGCCTGTTCGAACGGTGCTGCCTGTTTTTCAGGGCTTTGTTGCACGTGAAAGTACTTCAGAAAGAACAGGATAAAACCTCTCTACCAATCAGTGGTTTCTGTTGCCTTGCTTCACTCCACTCGACCGACCGAGACCTCAACTCTCACGCCTTTTGGTTTAACCCCCGGGAGCATGACGCCTAATTTCACGATCAAGTCCGGCGCCAATAGCTACATGGTAGACCTTGATATCATATCTTCTGCCTCGGAGTATTTTAAAATCGCATCGCAGTTTGGGACAAAGGCTTCTGAAGGTGTGGTAACACTTCATGATGATGCTCCCGCAATGGTCGACATGATGGTTGAGTTCCTCCAAAACGCCGATTACCATCCCACTGCTTGGAAACCCGACACGGACTCAGAATCTTTGGTCTGGATCAGAACGTGCGGTATCAATCCATACATGTGTCGCGAAAGTACAGACAAATATGGCCCTCTCAGTGGTAGTGGCGTATCGATCGCTCTTTCTACACACTCATCACCGAACTCTGACGTTGCACCTCCAAGCAACTCAAACAAGCGGGCATTTTCGGCTCTCGACGACATCCAGCCAGACAATGTGTCCCACAAACGACAACGCGTCGCTCCAAGCATACCAAAGGGCTCAGGCTTCGCGCTCTACCATACACCAACACCTCGCCACATGTTGCTACACCTTCAGCTCTGGGAAGTAGCCGACAAGTATTTGGTGCCTGATCTTCAAGCTCTCTGCACCCAAAGATTCAAGGAGGCAGCCGAATATTACTATAGTCATCCAGAGATGATTGATGCAATCTTGTTCGTCTATGGATATCTTTCTGACAGTGCGAAGGATTTGCGGAAGTTCATAGTGTCGATCGTTGATGACAACCCTATCTTGCTTGAAGATGCGGAAATTCAGGGATCCGTATTCTATCAAGAGTTATGCGATGCGGTGGTATCATTAGCGAATGGGCGGACGGATCGGCCAGACCCTTTTAGGGGAAAGTCGCAATGTTTCCAAAGGAGCAACTGGCCTCATGTCTCTTAGGTTTTGGAATCAGAGCTCATTTGACATGAACAGCATTATCAGGCTATTGCAGGCTTCGATAGGGTATTGCACATTGTAGTAGTTATATTAATCATTACTCATTACATGTTGAGATGAACGTGGTTGATCCTGCGCTTGTCATGCTAGCCTCACAGTTCTACTCCTTCTTAGCCCAGTCTACAAGCGCGTCTTGACCCAATTTATCTTTGATGATCCGCTCACTCAGATCCCACAGTGCAGCACCGAGATTCTCATCACTGGCTTGAGAGGTCTCTTTGCCTGGTTGGCCCTGCAATCATACGTCAGTCGATAAGTTCAGTAGACAACAAGCATCAAAACCAAAGATGTATCTTACGGGGTCGCTGAAATAGAATCCATTCATATCCTTCTCCTCAATCTCGTCCGATGTGCATGCCCAAAGCGCACTGTATGAACCCTGCTCAACGTCCCGACCAGCAAAAAGCATTGCATTCGACAGTAGCTTGCCGGTAATCCCCGGATATGCGTCCTTCCACTGCTGCTGCATAGCTGTATTGACTGCACCTGGATGCACAGCGAGAGCGTATACGTTGTCGCCGTTGGGTTTGATAACGCGGTCACGCAGACCAAACTTTGAAAACAGGATCATGGCTAGCTTAGTGCGTCCGTACAGCCGTGTCGGATCCATGGAACTATCGTTAATCTCGTCCATGCTTGCGAAGTGCACATCTGATGGCGCTGTGCGATGCATCTCACTTGACTCGAAAACGACTCGTGGTGCAGGTTTGGTCCCCATCTTTCCCGTCTTCCGAAGCACTGGCCATAGTTGGTTGCAAACATAAAAGTGGCCTAGGTAGTTCACGCCAAAGTGACGATCAATACCATCAGCGTCTTCACCATATTGGTTCCTGTATTTTCGTGTACGAAGTCAGTTCATGTCTTACATGCATCTCGTTCTGTGAGTTACTAACGTGTTGATTCCAGCAGAAAGGACGAGGAAATCGAGACGCTCAAGTGAATTGCGCAACCCAGAGAAGACTTCTTTGACTTCCTTGAGGCTGCCCATGTCACAATGCTTCCATTCAACGTCGGCATCTGCCTTCTCTTTCTTGATGCTAGAGATTGCTTCGGAGCCTTGTTCTTCTTTGCGATTCACCATAATTACTTTTACGCCAGCGAGGGCAAGCGCGCGACTAACTTCGTAGCTGCAGGGAAAATTAGTGGCAGTTCAACAGTCGAGAAGAGATAGTGGTACCCGATTCCGAGAGCGCCACCAGTAACCACAGCGACTCGTCCGTCGAGGTTCTCCGGGTGGACCTCTTTGGGTCCGACGACTTTGTGAAGGATTGATTGCATGTTGGGCTATAGATCTGTAGAGACGCGTTGGTGTCGAAGTGGTTTGGGGCGGAGTGTAAAAGAAAGAAGCCGGAAACTTTATTTAACGACTTTCTCCTATTGTAATACACGTATGTTTGTAATTACCAGATGTGACGTTTTGGGTTATTCGTTGGCTGGCATTCTCACATGTAAGGACATGTCGTGACGTCATCGGTGTCTTGCGACGACCTACATTCTCAACAGCATAAAAAAAAGAACAATTCAGACTATGGCGAGAAGCTCATGTCAGTATCGCTTCATTCCTGCGATGGGATGAGTGGAAAAACCCATAGCTCGACGGTTTATTATCAGATGTTAGCGCAAAGCTGGAATCTCAGACGCCTTATACGAGCTTAAGTTATATGCAATCGTTCGGTCTTGTCCTAGGATATAGCAAGTATATCGACATCAAAATATGTAACTTATTCTCTGCCGTTGAGATCGAGGATATTGGACAGTATATGTGCCTAGAAGTATGTATCTCCACTTAGACAAAAACGTTATCTTTAAGGCTTTCTGCTTCGATTCTGTGACTCGTGATAATATTTTGTTATCATCCGATTGGAGATTAGAGTGTCCACGAGTTTATTGGAACGCTAGACATAATACTTGATGCAGCTCTTAGTTTGATGTCCAAGAATACCAAAATAGAAGACGTGTCTATTAGGATGTCTGGAGGCTATAGTTACACTGAGCATAATGTGTAAAATGCGATAATGCGACAACATGATGGCTGCTGCATCTGATGCGAGTGAAGGTGGGAGCGAGGTCGAACGATAGAAGCTTGTGACGTCACAATTACGATCATCGTTCATTGGCTCAGCCATTTCCGATATACAGCATCACGATGATCGTCACAACTTGATCGGCCCGCTTGTACTCTTCCGCTTGCAGTGGTATCTACAACGATCCAGCTATCCCGACCTAGTGTACTGAGCATGTCCAAATCTACCGATGGTAAGATGGATTCCGGTTCACCCGGCACGCGGCTTCTCCAGGATGTCATTAACACATCCTTCACCCGCACGCCTCTACCGTTAGATAGAGACAGCGGCACCGAGCTATACAGACAACATAGCCATAAGGTAGAAGAAATGCAGAATCCAAAGATGAAAAGAGTTACATCGGGTCCCCAGACCTCTACCTCTACCTCGAGGCGCTCAGCGAATGGATATATGCCGATCGAAGATTATGGGCTGATTGGAAATATGAGGACTTGTGCCATGGTTGCGACAGACGGTGGAATAGGTATGTGATTTCCGCGTACCAGCCGTGTATCGACATATACTGACTTCATACGTCCAACTCAAGACTATATGTGCTGGCCTTACTTCGACTCACCATCCGTTTTCTGCAGAATCCTGGACAAAGAAAAGGGAGGCCACTTTACAATAGGTCCAACTGGCGACGATTCCTGCACAACCAAGCAACAGTATCTGCCTGTGAGCAATGTTCTCCAGACACGCTACCTGAAGGAAGAGGGCGTCATGAACGTCGTGGACTTCTTCCCTCGACCAAACGACAAGAGTCGGGATGCCAAATATCATGCAAACGTTGTCGCAAGCAGCCACACAGGAAGTGTTCCCGAGCGCCCCGATCTGAAGAAGTGGCTCGTAAGGCGAGTAGAATGTATGCGGGGCAAAGTTGACGTGTGCGTCGAGGTCTTCCCTGCTTTCAACTATGCACAAGACAAGCACACTACCGAGATCGCCGACATGGGTAGGAGCGCTCAGGGACGTGGTCTGCAACGAGTCATCTTCAGGTCCAAAGATCTATCCCTGGAGCTCAATGCGACGATCGATTGTGGGGATGCACCCGACGGTGTATGCCCAAGAGTGGTCTTCGAGGAGTCACCAGAGCCGCAAGATCTAGGCGTAGGCGTCACCGCTAATTTTACCTTGGAAGAAGGTCAGGCCGTATCCTTCATTCTGCGTGACGCAGAAGACCATAGCCCAGATATCATCGAGACGGAACAAGTCCAAGAATTGCAAACCAGCACCCAGAAGTACTGGGCTAGGTGGATAGAGCAAAGCAAATATATGGGTCGTTGGGAAGAGGTGGTTACCAGGAGCTTGCTGATCCTCAAGATGCTGACCTTTGAGCCCAGCGGAGCAATTGTTGCGGCGCCGACGTTCTCCCTGCCCGAAGACTTTGGTGGATCGCGAAACTGGGATTATCGCTACTCGTGGGTGCGCGATGCGTCTTTTACGATCTACACTTTTCTCAGGATGGGGTTCAATAACGAAGCAGAAGCTTATATAAGCTATATCTTCCAGCGCGTTAAAGAGGCCAAAGCACGACAAGGAGCTTTGCCAATTATGATGACCATCTGGGGTGGCACAGATATACCGGAGCTCGAACTGCCCCATCTGGAAGGGTACAGGGCCAGCCGACCGGTACGGATCGGCAATGGCGCAGCTTTCCACGTACAGTTGGACATCTACGGTGAACTGATGGATGGAATCTATCTTGTAAACAGATTCGGACGTCCAATCTCGTACGATCAATGGCTTCTTGTCCGAGAGATTGCGGATTATGTTTGTACCGTGTGGAAGGAGTCAGACATGTCGATCTGGGAAGTACGGGGTAAAAAGCAGAACTTTGTGTACAGCAAGATGATGCTGTGGGTGGCTCTTGATCGAGCACTACGCCTAGCAGATAAGAGGAGCTTTCCGTGTCCGCATCGAGCCGAGTGGTACCGGATTCGCGATGAGATGTATGAAGAAGTCATGGATAAGGGCTACAACTCGGACTTGGAATGCTTCATCCAGAGCTACGAGTCGAGCGACGTCCTAGACTCGGCTGTACTGATTGCGCCTCTAGTCTTCTTCATCTCTCCGACTGATCCTCGGTTCCTGAAGACTCTGGACCGTATACTCAAGGCTCCTGAGAAGGGCGGTCTGACGAGTACGGGGCTGGTGTACAGGTACAACCACGCGCTGAGCGACGATGGCGTAGGTGGGCAGGAAGGCGCTTTTAGCATGTGCACATTTTGGCTGGTCGAGGCCTTGACAAGAGTAAGCGCCATGCGTTCGCCCACTTAATCTTGTTTGGTTATTAACGATGGCAGGCTGGCGCGTACGATGAGAAATACCTGTTGCAAGCGGTTACTATTTTCGAAAACATGCTGAGTTTCGGAAACCATCTGCACATATTCTCAGAGGAGATTGCGCGTTCGGGAGAGCAGCTGGGCAACACACCGCAGGCGTTTAGCCATCTGGCGCTGATTTCGGCGGCATTCAACTTGGACAAGACGCTGAGCGGGCGACGAAAGTAGAGTGGTTGACGGATACCATGGTCATAGCGACAGATGCAGCAATTCAAATGCTCAGATGAAACGTGCATGCATGTTCTAGATGAGTGCGCTAATCTAAACGCACGGAGACGATCGGCAGCTAGCACGTCATGGCTTGCATTGTCCCATAGCCGGAATGAGGTCTAATGTCGCTAGTTGGAGGCTGCCGTGCGCCTGGAAGGAATGGGTGGCGCTGGCTACCAACCGCCCCTGACGCGCATTGACTGGCCTGGCAATTCCAAGCCGCGCAACTTTCAAGGCTTTCTTGATCTTCCATCTCTCGACAACGCACCCCAACCCATCGCCCGCAGGCCATGACACAGCACCCCCCCATAATACCTTGTTGAACACACACTCTCTCTATAATTCCACTTTCGCTCCCTTTTCAGCCTCTCTTCTGTCTCGCCCGCACAACACGCACCCAAGGCCGTCGTCGACTCATCACCTACGCGTCGCAACCCGCGCATCCCCCTCACCATCCATTTCACCATGTCGCTGTCCACCTCCTCCTCCTCTAGCGTATCCAACCTTTCAGTCATTGACGAAAAGATGGAAATGTCCTCGCCGTCCACAGACCTTCTTGTCAGAGATTTCGGTTGGCCGTCAGTTTCTCCTCGCTACCACGGCGACCACACTCAAGAAAGCAACCCGGACTGGGACCACGACCCGCTTGAATGCGAAAAGGCAAAGGCAGAGGCCTTTGAGAAGATGGAGAGGAGCTACGCCCTCTACATGGCCAATCTTGGAAAGCGGCCGCCGGTGCAGAAGAAGAAGGCTGTTTGGGCTCGATTCCTGCCCTGGGTGCGTTAAGCTTGCACTTTTATCGACTGCCTCATCGCATGTGTGCGAACGATACCAATGCGAGGCTTTGCAGAGACATGTTGTCGCTGTGACAAATTCCTCGCAGCACCTATTCGCAACGTCGCCTCGACGACGACCTGGATACCCGTTTGATTACCAAAAAACAATTACCCCAAGATACCCATTGATACGAAAAAGAAAGAAACAAAACGTCGACAACTGCATTGAGGACACAAAGGAAGCATTGCCGACGCATACCCTGGTCCACGCATGGATCGGAGGCTGCACGGAGTCTAGATCCGGCCTGCCGAGCCATGGTGACGAGGGAAGGTGCGGGGCTCGAGTCCACCTTGCCGCATACACTGCAAGCAATCTTTGATACCCGTTTCATTATTTCTTTTGTCACAAAAGCCCTGTGCTTTACTCTACGATCTCGTCAGCATATACCCTTTGTATACCCAGTCTAGATTCATCTTTTGCGCTCGAGCGACATAATACTACTAATACATCAACGATTTCTATTCCGCCACTTGGCTTTTGCTATGCTCCATTCCGGAGTCGTGACTACGCGCCGCGGGGTGACTTTCTCCTTGGTTATCGGGAATGGTCACCCTCACTCCACTGTCATGCAGCGGTAGACCATTCCCGACCATTGCACCAGGTAGACATATCAGCATGTCTCCACTGCACAGCGTGTCGGGACTTTTTAATCTTGCTTTGTTCTCCGTCGATGCTGCCCGCCCTCTCTTCATCCTTTCCATTTGGCTTTCACGAACAGCTGATTCTTACGTCCACACTGCATACGTAACCTTACCCAAAGCATTCTCATCAAATTCTCCTTGAGTTACATCATCACCATGGGCTCAATGCCAGAGAAAACCATGCGTGCGCAACAGTACGACGCGCGAGACAACAAACTTCATCTGAACGAGGTGCCTATCCCAACACCGCGCGAGCACGAGGTCCTAGTAAAGATGGGCTGCGCATCCCTCTGCCATTCCGATGTCATGCTCTTCGAGCCCAATGACCAAGGCCTTATTCTCGGCAAAAACCCTGTCACTATTGGCCATGAGGGAACCGGCAGAGTAGTTTCAACCGGCTCAGGAGAGGTAGCTAAGCAGTTCAAGGAGGGCGACCCCGTAGGCTTCCTTTGCGCAGTCGACTGCTGTTTTGAGTGCTACGCTTGCAAGAATGTGCATAACGCATGGTGTGCGACAGGGGAGACAAAGATACAAGGATTTAGTTCGGACGGATATTTCGCCGAATACGCAGTCGTAGATGCTAGGGAGGTTATCATATTACCCGAGAACCGTCAGTCAAACTTGATAGAAAGCGAGCATTAATCGCATGCTAACTTCACTGCTCCAGTGGATCCCAAAACGTCAGCACCCCTTTTCTGCGCAGGCGTGACAGCCTACCACGGTATCGCAGATTGTCAGCTACCCGCCGGCTCCTGGCTCGCGGTAATTGGATGTGGTGGCCTCGGCCACATGGGTATTCAATACGCCAAAGCCATGGGTCACAAAGTCATCGGCATCGATATCACAGACGCTGCGATAGAAGAAGCTAAATCCTGCGGCGCAGACTATACCTTCAACTCAATGACGGACAAAGACTACAAGAAGAAGATTGTAGAGCTTACCGGAGGCGGTGTACATGCTGCAGTAAATTTCACAGCGTCAAAGAAGTCTTATGATGATTGCCCGGCGATTGTCAAGCCTGGTCAGAGTATGATTATGGTCGTAGGCATTCCGCAGCAGCCGCTCGAATTCAATGGATTGGATATTGCTTTGGGAAGGTATCAAATAAAGGGGTCGAGTAACGGGAGTAAGCAAACACGCCGTTCGAAGAAGGGAATGAAGCTGACCAATCTTTAGCATGCTACAATATGAGGGAGGCGATTGAGTTCTCGGCGAAACATAACATCAAGCCGCATATGACCGCCTTTAAGCTTGAGGAAGTGCCGAAGATGGTCGAGCTGATGAATGCACACAAAGCGAAGGGACGGATGGGTGTTGTATTCGACTAAGAGAGTGTCAATTGTAAACACGGGACGCGGAACCTTAACCTGAATAACAGACGAAATGACGCAACGTCTTATTATCGTCAGTGTATTGTTCGTCAAGACAATAACGAAACCGTACATGACGTTTGTGCCACAGGCCTTTGACAATACAATTCCGCCCTTCCAAGTATAGGAAGTTTACTCTCTGGCCTTTTATCCAATCTAAACTGAGGAAACGATAGGTTTGTATTTAAGAACTGGTACACCAAAAGTCATTGACACACTTCCGCATATCTGCAAAGACAAACACCAAAACACCGTACGAGAGCGTCGATGAGGACAATCACCGCCGAGCAACCCAACACATACGATAAGAACGTTTTTCGACAGTTTGCTTCTGAGTGTTCTATCCAAACACTACATCGCCTATCTCTAATACTGCATCACACATTTCTCTCCTATCTACAAGAGTATACATAAAGTACGCATGTGCCCACCCCCTCCACTGCTACTGAAGATGATCACTAGTCCTCCATTACTTAAGCCACAAAACCCGCTTGTCATAAGCCATGAACCAAGAGCGTTCGTTGCGAAGATGATATGTGTAGGAACATGATTTAATGCGGCAATCGGCAAATTGATTGTTTCCCTGTCAAAGATTCTTCCAAAAAGTGGTTGACGCAAGCCAACTTCCTCTCAAGGAGAATGCGTACTCCATCCACGATTGAGAAGTTCTTTCGGATAGATGTACAAGTCCATCACTCTACACCAGAAGAGCATCATTTGCGTATCAAGTCGTCTATTCTGCCTTGTCCTCTTCTCTTCCTATCACCAACATCCCATTCGATATTGTCTACAATAACGGACGAAGAATGCATCGGCAACGTCTCTTGCGCTTCGAAACTTGCAAGAAAGGTCGCGTGCGTCTAAGAATGCTTTCATCGATCGAACTACACTTGTTAGTTTTTAAAAGGTTCTTGCGCTACTACACGCGGCGTCCTGTCTGCAAAACAAGAATCGATATATAGGTGCTTCGTTAACCTCCAAAAGTTTATCTCAGAACTCAATTCCTATTCCATATGTGCAGTGAGTTTGAGTTAAGTTTTAGGGAGCAGTCTGCCTACGAAATTGTGCCGATCTGCTGCAGTGAAGAGGGATTGTTGCCCATAGGTTGTGGTGATGATGATCGTTATCTATGTTCCGTCATTGAGATTGCTCCTCCTCGTGCTGCTATGATCGAGCGCACAGTCTACTGCCAGTACGCTCCAGCCCATACGCTCCACGTGTTCTGATGCTTTTATCGTACACCGCTCTACTCCTTTGCTCCACCAAAACCACAACTTCGCTGGCCTTGTCTCTTTTATGCCACTCTCTTAGACAATGGTCTCCAACTCTCTCGCATAACCAAGAGTGTTCTCAATGACCTGATCACTTGTAACCAAGATGTCTTTGCTCATGTATTCGTCCTCCTGCTGAGGGAAGTATATCCGTCCGTCCTTGACAACCCAACCGCATTCCTTGGCAAAGTTGACGACGCTGCCTTCCGAGTCGAGGAAGAGGAGTGATTTGGCGTCGGAGATGGGAATGGAGGGGTATGCGCGCTCACTGCAGGACGCGATTTCCTTGCGGATAGTGCCGATGAGAATCTGATAGTGTGTTAGCAACGATCCAAGTCATGATACAAAGACAGCATGTGCGGCATGATAGTGGCAGTGGCGTACCTCAGTAAACAGAGCAAACTCCTCGCCAGGCACCCTCTCGCTCTTTGTCTCGACCCACACCTTGTCGTAGCTTCCCTCCATAAGCGCTTGCTCCAGTTTTATGGGATACTGAATGAACTGATCAGCTTCGAGCTTTGCGCCTGCCTGCGCAGCCGCCACCTCGAGCGTCTCTAGCAGTGTGTGGAAGCCCGCGTAGTCGCCCTCGCTCAACAGCAGTAACAGATATAGACCTGTGACCTTGCTGGAATTGCTGCCATCCTTGGGTAGTGTGGACTCTGGCAGGGAGTAGAAGGGCTGGAGCTGCTGGAAGTAACGGGTAAAGGACTCGGTGTCTTTGAGGCGGATGGAGATGATGGCGCCTAGCTCGAGCGTCTCACGTGCGAGCTGCAGATGTTTCCGTGGTGTCTTCTCTTGTGGGATGAGGGCGTTGAGGTTGAGGAGGGCGATCTTGGCTTTGCCTAGTAATGAGGTCGACTGCTGGTAGTTGTGCGACTTGAGCGTCTGGTGGAGCTGCTGGAGCACGGTGGAGAGTTCCCTTTCAGCCATGGTGTGCAGTGGTTCGGTTCTAGTAGTGCAAGTCGATGATGTAGAGACTGATCGAGGTGATTGAGTGGGTCGGATTCGTGATGTGGTTGGGGTGTTTGTTGCGGCGAGTGGAAGCTTCGGTGGTATACGTCGGGAGACCGTCGGCGTCGGAGGTGCTGGGCTTAGCGTGCTCCCCAACCGCCACGCCGCGTCATATCCTCCCTCAAACGTTCTATACCGAATATATGCCATTTATTTCACTTGCTCTCAAACACGCTGAAGGAACCCATGAGGGCAAAAGCACTGTTGTACTCATTTTCCAGACATAAGCCTGACATCCCACGCGGACCAGGCACCAACACCTGCAGATGACCTAGTCGGTCACATTGTCTCAGCGTGGGAATATCACTACTGGCGGCTGGTCTGCTTTCGCATTGGTCTACTCTTGTTTGCGATACTGCAGCTGACATCTCGTCTTGAACGTATACAGAATTTGCCTTCCATGACCGATTGGGTAGTCAGCACGCCACGCCTTGCGCTGTGTCACAGCAGAGATTACTTTTGTGGAAATCTTCTACCCTGAGTACAGTACCAGAGCAAATCAACATGCCCATGCTTTGACCGGTCCATAGTTCCAACATACATGCTATTGGTGCCTAGAAGTGAGTTCCCCAAATCATGTCCTTTCCCCTTATCTCCTCCTCCCAAACTTTCCCTTCGCACCAGTCCCTGCTTTGCCTTTGATATTGAGCCTCCGATAATTTGCATTTGCCGTAGCTTTGATCTTGCGGGCCGCCGTCTTGAGTGCGCTCTCTTTGACAGGCTTCTCTGCGGGCACTTTTCGTCTCGGGGTATGTGAAGCATCACTCGCGTAGTCTGAATCTCCATCCAAGTCTGAGCCAAACTCGTCTTCCAGAACCGCTGGTACTTGAGTTTCTGGCACCCCTGCTTGTTCTCCCTCTGGCTCGTCGTTTGTCTGTGGTGCTGACATTGGCTTGGGCTTTACAATGTTCGGGCGCACTGAAAACTGTTAGTCACGTAGCTCGTTTGTTGAATACAGAATATCTTACTTATTACACGCCGCGTCTGCCTCTTCAAGCCCTTCTTTTTCCAGACCCTTCGTGGCTTTCCATCTAGCCCGAGTTCTGGTTCCTCCTCACTGCCTTCGTCGGACTCAAGACCTCGGTCTGGCCCTAAGGGCATAGCCGCTTGGCTATCTTCTATCAGTATCTGTGACGCTCTGGGTTTCCTGGGGACGGCGATGCCTTCTTCCTCCATTTCCAGTTCGCGCATGATATCCGCCTCTTCATCAAGTTTGTCGTCCTCATCTTTCCTCATTGCTTGTATCATGGAACTCAGGCTACGTCCAAGTCCGCGTCGCATCCAAGGTGCTGGCCGTGATATTGGCTCCTCCTCCTCCTCGTCAATAGCATTCAGCATATTGTCTCTTCTCAAGAACGCAGGTGTTGCTAGGCCTCGAGTCGTAGATGACGGTGTACCCTCCTCGTCTAACCTTCTCTTCTTCGGTGTGACGAATTGGTTCAAAAGAAACCGCTTCCCCGCCGACAGTGGTGTCCGCTCTCCCCTCGCTCTTGACTCTAGTGATGTCTCACTTGCTGCATCTTGAAGTCCCCTACTCGGAGTTTGTGGCACATTTAACCCCACATCTCCTAGTACAGTCCTCGGCTTGCTTGGTGTGCCATATGCATATGGGAGCATGTCAAAGAGACCTAGAACTATCCCGTCGCGCTGGGGCGTAGGCCCTATGACGGTAGGTCCTTGTGGAGACAGAAGCTCGGCTGCTAGATCTACGTTCTCTATTGCGTCACCGTCCTCTCGTTTCCTCTTCAACGGTGTGGAGACGGTGGGCTTGGGCGCGGCTTTTGGTGTTCGTTCGACATCGAGGCTCGCTCTTCGGCTTGGGGTTCGCTTCGAGGGGGTCTGCGGCGCTGCTTTGCTTGACAATCGTACTCGTAGCTTGTTGTAGTCCTTGTACATTTGCGCTGCATATGTTCAGCATGACCGTAGAGTGACCGGAACTCTTCTGTACGTACAAATCTCGGCATTGGCCTTGATATCATCGCGTCCCGCCTTTCGGCCATTGTTCTCTGCTGAAAACTTCTTTTCCCAGGCCTTTAATTCATGTCGTAGCTCGGTGCAGCGCTGTTCAATCTTATCGTTACTCATGGCGTCTTGTGTCGAAGGGTGTGGTATGAGTGAAGACGGTCCGAAGCGGGTGTAATTGACATCAATATCCCAAATCGCGGTACGCGTTACGTGCACGCGACAAAACGCTACTAGCAGGGTTTCTCAGCCTTATCGGCTCCACATCACATGCACATCATTCCCAAGCTTTTAATTGGCGAGCATGACGCATCAGATATATTCTACAAAATACTATTCACAACTCCCTGCTCGCGCGCTTGAGAGCTCGAACATCATGTCGCTGATGCATAAAGGAAAGCCGGACCAAAAAGGGGGAATCTAGTAGTGAACAGCCTTGTCGTAGGTGGCCATAGCAGCCTCCTTGAACGCCTCAGCGAGGGTAGGATGAGCGTGACATGTTCGGGCAACATCTGCAATGTCATTAGTATCTTGTCACGAAACGAGAAACTGCATTTTGACTTACCCTCTGAGCTGGCACCGTATTCGAGAGCAAGGGTACCCTCAGCAATCATCTCACCGGCGTTGGGTCCAATGATGTGGATACCCAATATCCGGTCAGTCTGAGCATCTGCGAGGAACTTGACCATACCCTCGGTGTCGAGGTTAGTCTTGGCTCTTGAGTTGGCGGAGAAGGGGAAGGTTCCGTTCTTGTATTTGATACCAGCCTCCTTGAGTTCCTGCTCGTTTTGACCAACCCAGGCGACTTCAGGGTGGGTGTACATGACGGAAGGAATGGCGCCGTAGTTGACATGACCGTGACCCTTGTGGATGTACTCAATGGCAGCGACAGCCTCCTCCTCGGCCTTGTGGGCAAGCATAGGTCCGAATGTGCAGTCTCCGATAGCGCGAATGTGGGGAATCTTGGTGCGGTACTCCTGGTCGATGATCAAGCGGCCCCTGTCGTCGGTCTCAAGGTTGATGTTGTCCAGACCAAGACCAGATGTGTACGGGCGGCGACCGATGGCAACGAGAACGACGTCAGCGTCCATCTGTGATAGTTAGCAATGCTTCTGAGTCGAGGTGCTTGCGCTGAACTTACGGTCTCCTCCTTTCCACCCTTGGCAGCCTCAACGCTGACCTTTACGCCAGCGTCGTGAACCTCACCTGCGGTAACCTTGGTGTTGAGCTTGAACTTCAGGCCCTGCTTTTGGAGGATCTTCTGGGTCGCCTTGGCGATCTCGGCGTCCATGCCAGGGCCACCAATTTGGCCCAAGAATTCGACGACAGTGACCTCGGCACCCAGACGCGACCACACGGAGGCCTGTGAATCGTTAGAAATGCCTTGAGGGTCAGAGAACTGTTCCTACCATCTCAAGTCCAATGATACCACCGCCGATGACGGTCATCTTCTTTGGCACTTCCTGGAGCGCAATGGCGCCAGTGCTTGTGATGACCTTCTGCTCGTCGATAGTCAAGCCGGGGAAGGGTGTAGCCTCAGAGCCAGTGGCAATGAGAATGTTCTTGCCGCGGACAGTAGTCTCGCCACCCTCGACCAGGTTGACAGCAACAGTGTGCTCGTCCTGGAACGCACCAGTTCCCTTGATGTACTCGACGTTGTTCTTCTTGAAAAGGAACTCGATTCCCTTGGTGAGACCAGACACGGAGGTGTCCTTTGCCTTCATCATGGCGGGGAGGTTGAGCTTGACATCGTTGACTTCGATACCGCGGCCTTTTGTGTCGTGGAGGATCTGGTGGTAAAGATGCGAGTTGTTGAGGAGCGATTTTGAGGGAATGCAGCCAACGTTCAAGCAGGTTCCACCGAGGGAGCCACGCTTCTCGATACAGGTGACCTGTCGCAGTGTGTTAGCTCTCTGGACCTCGAAATCTCTACGTCTGTTCTCGCTAACCTTCATGCCCGCCTGTCCTGCCTTGATGGCTGCGACATAGCCTGCGACACCACCTCCAATGATGACTAGGTCCTTGTCCTCTGTCCAGCAATCAGCAAAAGTCCCCGTACCGATCTTTGCGGCAATGCGACTTACCAGCTTCCGACGCATAGCCTCGTCGTAACCGGTTCTGGAAGTAGATGTTGGATGCGCAAAATGTCTTTTGGGAGACGGGCCGCGTCGCCCTTTGGATGGCGCGGGGTGCCAGTGAGCGGAACATGGTGGAGACTACCGAAGAATCGCTACCAAGAGAAGCCGTAAAGTGTACGGCGGGGATGACAGGCGTCAATGGATGGGGCGTGGGATGGGAGATGTGGTTGAGCTTTTTGCGGAGCTCGGCCGGGAAGGTCTATGCGGCTTCCGTAGGGTCAAGTGGCGCCAAGCTGACAAAGTGCCTCACATCTACTCCGTAACATCTTCGTCCAAGTATCGCGGCAAAATGGGTTTCGCATTACTATACACGGCAAACACAGGGTATTCTTGCGATATCTGATGGTGAATGGTCTATTACTTTCCGTCCCTCAATCTTCCTGCAGAGTGGTCGTGGCCAGTACTTTCGTCAACATGTCCATTATCGACTTGCAAGCCCATTGCACGGTCTCTTTTTCCGTCTGCTCGACAATCTCCGTCTTGCTAACAGCCTTTTTCAGGAAGAACTGCAGCCCAGCAATCATCTCGGGAGCCTGATCTACCTCCACAAACACTTCGCGCACTGCCCGTTCATCTCGCTTGTCCTTTGATTTTGATGACTTCAGCGACTCTAGGATTGTAGTGACTAACAAAACCTCGACAAAAGTCCTGGTTTTGGGCTGCAAATACGGGAAGTTGAGGTTTTTGAGAGTAGTGATAGGTAAAGCTTTTCGTCCAATTAGTGTGCCGTACAGTTTGCCTTGATTGACCAGTTTTCGAAGAGATGTGTCGCCACCCGTATCGTCGTCGTCAGAGTCATCGTCATCTGCACCGTCTTGCTTCTCTCCTAGGCTCTTGAATATATCCCAGAGCGCAAATTGGAAACTCTTCCGTGTCTTGTGGTCTGAACAGACCTTACGGGCAAGAACAGTGTAGTATGGATTGTAGGTCTTTTCAGCGCCTGCGCAGTGAACGATGACTCGTGGAATCTCTGCCTCTTGGGATCTTTTGAGGTTGAGCTTGTTCAGTCTTATCTGAGCATCTTTGAAGTCGCTGGCAGACATGATGGAGATGAAAATGGCGCGCCGAATGTCTGTGTTCATGCGATGTTCACGAGCAAGCTGCACGAGGTCGATTTCGCTGTCTTCGTCCTCAATGTCGATCTTGGCTGTAGTCTTGCCGGCTTCTTTTGGCTCCTCGGGCTTTTCCTCGTTGCCTGGCTCATTTCGCCAGCTCGCTCCTACCAGCCACCATTTTCCTCTCTTCTCCGTGTCTTTGATATCCTTTAGCCCAACGCGTAACGGCTCGGTTGCTTTTAGGTTCCTTGAGTTCAGAGTACCCAACTGCTTCTTCATGCGGATCGTATGCTCTCGAGAAATCGCAGACGAGGCTATGCCCGTCTTCATCTTGTTGTTTTTGAGATCATTGATCGTCTCGATCATGAACTTTGTTCGAACGGGCAGGTTGCTCTGTCCAACTTTTGCCACAGACTTTTGCAGCAAAACAACAATGTCTTTGAGTGAACTTGGATCATCCTGTCGTAGTTGTGGGCCGGCTGCTCTGACTATCCTCAACAAGAGTTCAGTGTTGATTTCCGTGAGCTCATTAAGGAAAAATCGGATGTAGTCGAAAACGATGTTACTACCGATAACCTGAAAAGTGTACAACTCCGCCACCAAGGATATCAAATTCGAGGTCTGTTTTCCATTTCCATCTTTGTTCGCCTGATAGTGTTGGTCGAATTCTGCAACGATGCGCTCCACTATTTGTGCACCAAAATCGGGCCCGATGACCTTGTACACCGCAGCGATGAAACCAGCGTGCAAGTTCACAAAGGTATCCAGAAGAGCTGTGGGATCCGACAACATGCTAGCAAGTAGGTCGACTAGTGTGTTGTTGACGTAGCCTCGAGGGTTGTTTTGGTATATATTCTCGATGTCGCGTAGAATTGACAATATGTTAGCTTCTGAGAGCCTGTTGAAGAGACCTTGGATTTGTCTTTTAAGGCGCAGCAGAGCCTCTGTGTCTGACGAGGGGGGTGCTCTCAGCGCAGGTGGTATGTACTTGGTCGGTTGAGCATTTGGCGCTGCAGGGGCGACGTATGGATTCTCTCGTATGCGCGGTTGTTCTGGCTCCACGTCCTCCATGTCGTCGTCCTCTTCAGAACCAAAGTCGTCATCAGAGCCACCCTCAGTCTCATCATCCTCATCGAAGCCCGCCTCTTCCAGGTCCAAGTCCTCATCATCTGATTCAGAGCCTTCCGACCCGCTGTCTTCTTCCTCACTCGACTCTTGACCCAGAGCTTTCCGCCTCTTGCTTGCGAGCCAGTCATTGTCCTCATCCCTCTTCCTCTTTGTAGGTTGAACTTCTTCTTCGTCACTGAAATCCCCAAGGTCACCAAATATGTCGTCCAGGCCATCATCCGCTCCCTTGGATCTCTTTTTGCTCTTTACACCTAGCTTCTTCTCTAACTTGGCAATGTCGGCATCATCTTGCGCAAGCTTCTCCCGAGCGGCGCGTGATAATTTGGCAGGTGGTGGTGAGGCATCTTCAGGCTGTGATGGCTTCGCTTTGAGAATGCTTTTCAGCGGCTTGAGCGATTCTTTCGCAGCTATTGGGGGTGGCGTAGCGTCGGATTCGATGTTGTCCCAATCTATTTCCTCTTCCTCCTCATCGTCGTCGTCGTCGTCGTCGTCGGGTCCACGGCGTGGTCCGCGGCCATTGTGTGGATGCGATGGCGCTGGCCGTCTGACCTGCTTGTTCTGGCGTTTCTTCTCTACACGATCAGCCTTGCGCCTGTCTTTGCGATTCGGAGGCCCATTGCGCGGACCGTTTCGTCGCTTGTTGTTGGCTGGATCTGCTGATGTCAGAAATAAAACATCACTAGGGCATGTCGAACACACCTCCAAGCTGATTTCGCAGCTCAACGGGCAGTTTGGGCCCTCCGAAGGTTGGGCGCATATTGAGATGGTCGAGACGTTAGGGTCGCAAAAAAGTTCGAGAAGTCGGAGTTTGGGTGAGAGATTTCCCCGCGTCTCCGCTCCACGCCACGGCCGCGGGCATCCCACCATGCGACCTACTACATGGCGCGCATAATATAGCACACGACTTTCATTATGGGGCGAGAACACTTAAGCAACGACGAGGTACGATATGTGATTTTATCAAGTGCTTGTCAAGTACTGACCTACCCAGTTCTTCACTCGGCTCGCCAATCTCTTCGAGTACACGCGCACCAAAGGCCACGGCAGCGTCTACCTAGTCCAGAAGCGCATGACCTTCGACACATCTGCTGCACCGCCACCAGCCAGCAAAATCGCCGATGACCCGTTATGGGACACACATCCTGAAGAGCCATTGCCTGTCTTGATCCGCGCACACAACAACAAGAGCAGCAAGAAGGCGGGAACCGACAGAGAAGATATCCCTAAAATCGAGTTGAGCACCGTCGTCAAGCCAGATGACTTGGACGGCTTCTATGCGCGATATGCTGAAGCTTGCAAGGTTGGCATGAGCGGACTGAAGAAGCGAGATAAGAAGAAGGCGAAGAAGACGAAGAAAAAGAAGAAGGGCGAGACCAAAGTGTGAGAGCAGCCGGGCACTATAATACCATCAGACGCGCAAGGGGCACTTCGATGTTACAAAACCATCGGTTGATTGATCTTGAGGGCTTGCGCGGACAGTACCACGAGCACGCCACTGAGAGAGGCTGCGGATACGAGTCGTAAGGATGGCGTATCTAAAGAGATACAGCATCAGCAAAACGTGGCTTCCCAAGCGCCAGAGACGCCAATGGAGCGCAGCACACCAGAAGACAGCACTGAATGATACCTATACTCTACTGTCTCCATGTTTGCTCCTATAATTTCCCATCTTTTTCCCTGAATGACTTTGTGCTCAGAGGCAGTGGTTGTCCCAGCCACATCGCTCTTTGGGTGTGGTCTCTCAACTCGTCATCAGTATTAGGATGGACCAGAACAGACAAAGGCCCCCTGTTGATGACAAGCCAGGGAATGAAAGCACCAAATTGTTCTGTCCGCCGTCAGTGAAATTTTCAGAATGAACAGTCGCCGTACACACCAGGTGTGAATATGTTAACCTCAAACATGGCAATAGGATGAGGGCCAATAGGTCGATCCCATACTCGATAGATGCGCAGCTCAGGGACTTGTCTTCAGTCAGCGTATGTGCAAGTTGGAAGTATGAATCTCGTTCTCACATTCGCGACGTATGCGTTCCCACAGCTCGTTGGCGAATTTGACCTCTTCGTTATCGGACTGGAGAAAGTAAATATGGGCGCTGGGCACTGTCAGATACATGAGGAATCGACTCGCCGCGTTAACACCTACTCAAAGCCCCCTCGTATGCCGTTGTCTAGAGGAGCTACGAAAGACTTGTACGCTTCGCTCATCGTCTCGGCTGGTGGATTCAGATACGACTTCCCGTCTGCAGCCTTTTCGCTATAGATTGTGAGTCCTTGTCTCAACCACGTATACCACTGTAGTCGACATATGATACAGGAAATATGTCAAGGAAGAACATACTCTGGTAGTGCCTCAAGGCCTTCATAGCCCTTTAGAGGAGATTCGTACTTGTAGAGATTTGGATCCGCCATTGTTTAATCGAATACTATGTAAGAGAATATCTGCGACGTTTCTGGCGTACCAAATCACTGTTATATATGACGTGACAAAAGACAATATGCACTGGAGGTTAGGTACCCCGTTTGTCAGCGCGGAATTAGAGCAGCCTCGGCTTGCAATACCCTAATGCAGACATCTTTAATTCAGGTACATTCATTAGGCCGGAGTTACTGTCGCCACTTGTACATTCCAAGTCTGGCGAGTCGTAGCCACAAGTTGGAACGATGGCGTGAAACGCGTGAGTGGTCGGCTTATGCCGAAGCGTTATGTCCTACGCAGACGGCAAGTCAAGATTGGAGATTTATTCTTCAGCCGAACAGACAGGCGAAATTTGGCGTCTGGAACTATACACAGACGGCATTGATATGACACTTGACCGAGATAAGGAGGCGGCATTGGGAGTGTGAGTCTTATCGATACATTATGCGCTTCACATGGGCGCGCACGGAGCATTGTTGGAGGGGTTCTTGACTCACCCCGCGACCACTCAAGATATTCCTGAGCGCGACAACGACCCATTGAACACGACTCGAGTCTGCAAATACCGCAATCATGGCCGAGGCTACCTACTACATCGATGAAGATGTCGGTCACGATATCCCAGAACAAACCGGCGACGAATCACTTCCCTACAAGTCACTCGGATACGCTGTCCTCACGCGCGGCGAGACGGCAAAGTTCCTTACACGCAAGAGTGTCACCGGCGAGGTCGCAGAGGGTGCTGATGCGACATCGAGGCTAGAGTGGAAGGAAGCCGCAAAGTCGGCCATGAAAAAGGCAGTCAACTACGCCAAAACACAGAAGAAGAAGCAGGAGAAGGACCAACAACTACTTGCCCAGCGCATGAAGGAGGAGCATGATCGCAACAAGGTACTGGACGAAGCCAAGAAGATTGTCTTGGAAGAGGACAAGAGCTTGCCAGCACCCATCAGGATCAAGCTCGACGATACCGACTCGAAAAAGATCACACTGGGAGATGGCAAGGACACAAAGGGTACACGGGTACGCGTTTTCGGCCGTGTCCATCGTGAGCGAAGACAAAAGGACGTCATGTTCGTTACACTAAGAGACGGCTACGGTCAGATGCAGCTCATCTTCACCGGCAAGCTGGCAAAGACCTACGATGCCCTCACTTTGACCCGCGAGACCAGCATGGAGGTCTTCGGAGAGCTGAGGAAGATCCCCGAGGGTGCACACGCACCCAACAACCGCGAACTACACGTCGACTACTACAAGATCCACGACGGATGGAAGGCTGCGGGTGGCGACGATGCCATCACCAACAGGGTATCAAAAGACACTGAGCACGCGACACTATTGGATTTGCGACATCTCACTATGCGCGGAGAGACGGCGTCCAAGGTCTTGATCGTCCGTGATGCTGTCGAGTTTGCGTTCAACCAGGTCTACAAGGAACTCCGGTTACGCAAGGTCAGCCCGCCAGCGCTCGTCCAAACCCAGGTTGAGGGTGGTTCTACGCTTTTCAAGTTCGGCTACTACAACGAGGAAGCATACCTCACCCAGTCGTCTCAACTGTACCTTGAGACTTGTTTGCCATCTATGGGTGACGTCTACTGTATTGAAAAATCTTTCCGTGCAGAGAAGTCACTGACACGTCGCCATTTGGCCGAGTACACACACGTCGAAGCCGAGCTCGACTACATCAACTTTGATGATCTACTGAACCACCTGGAGGAGGTCATGTGCCGTGTCCTTGAAGTCACCATGTCCGACCCTGTCATCAAGCAGTACATCATGGACCTTAACCCCGAGTTCCAAGTACCAGAGCGGCCTTTCAAGCGCATGAAGTACCAAGACGCCATCGACTGGCTCGTCGAGAACGGGATCCCCAACGAAGATGGCGAGCCGCACAAATTCGGTGACGATATTGCCGAGGCTGCTGAGCGTCGCATGACAGATATCATCAACAAGCCTATTTTCCTGACTCACTTCCCCGCCGAGATCAAGGCTTTCTACATGCTGAAGGACAAGGACGATGCTAGGGTTACCGAGAGTGTAGATTGCTTGATGCCCGGTGTCGGTGAAATCGTTGGTGGCAGCATGAGGATGGACAACTATGATGAGCTGATGGCTGCATACGGAAGGGAAGGTATCGATCCTGCGGCATACTACTGGTACACTGACCAGAGGAAGTAAGTCAACCACCATACGCGTTCCATCAGTTTGTGCCTTACTAACATAACTCCAGGTACGGTTCTTCTCCCCACGGCGGTTACGGTCTTGGTCTTGAGCGCTTCCTCGCCTGGCTCTGCAAGCAGCACACCGTCCGCGATTGCTGCCTGTACCCTCGCTACTTCGGTCGCTGCAAGCCTTGAGCGTAGGCCACATGAATTTTAGCTTCATGTGACGTTGTCCCGTAGCTCTTGCTACAGAACGAGTTGAGACATGGGTTGATTCGCGTGATGCGATTTCAGAATAGTCAAGCTACCGCTTTGCCAGTAAACATAGCCTTATCGCTGCATTAGGCTGAGACGATTGGACGAATCATTGAATAAATCATACCCAGTTAACATGTTCAAACCGTCTTGTTTTTCTCATCTACTTCTGGTCAAGGATAACACCGCCTTCTCGATGTGCGAGCAATTCCGTTCTACTACAATGTGTTTGACAAAATGCGCCCCAAACAGAGCCGCGGTATTCTGTGGTCTTGCGTCTAGACGATATAAGATGGTATATACATTTGTCAGCAGTCTTTGTTACTGCTTGGCAAAACCGAAGGAAGCTGAGTCGACATGGACTGGTGAGAAGCTTCACGACGGGTTGTTTATCGTGGTATGTGTGCATCGTGTCCGACATGGTGGAACCTTACGAACCCAAGTCATCCTGAAACAAAACTCTCTTGGTTGTCTATGCCAACACCCGGGTAGCTGAGCTACATTCTCGCTTCTCACATAAGATCCAGATGGGGCACAAACCGTTAAAGACACAGTAGACTTCTTGTTCGCCGCCTATGTAAAACTACATGCCTTCCTGAGATGAGCATCGTAAATCCTCCTAGGAGAATAGCGAGTAGATATGCAGGCAGCGTGACACCCGCGTCCTAAACTAGGCAGAAAGTTTGCACTTGTCCCTCGTCCATCTTGCTCGATAGAGCACCCTAGAAACGCCATGGAAAAGCACAAAAGCTCATCACCAAGAGCTAGGAATGTACAAAAAGTACCCGATTCAAACTCCTCGCTATGCAGTTGTGGTACAGCGAAAGAAATTCCCTGTCAAAAATGCAGGGATTTGACAATATATAGCTGTTTGTACTTGGAAAACGTATGGGACCAAACGAGCGCGCAATTTACGCATCGTGTGCAAGATAATCCACCAAAACAAGGATGCGGAGGACCAGGGAGGGAGCTTTTTTCAAAAGAGACAAAAATCGTTGACGTGTCGGACAAGGACCGTGCCGCGCGTCCGTTAGCGAACAAGTGTCATGATCGAGTACGAAAGTTAGACGAGCTGAGCTGAGCATTCCAACGCCTCGTTCACAGCTTGTCTTGGAGGTATGCACTACCTTGATGAAGATACCTTGTGATGATCTGACGTAGTTGAGCTTTAGGGTTGGATAAAGGCGTCGTGGGGGTCCAGATGCGTCCATGTTGTGCGGTGGCGTCGCGGCAAATGAGCTAAATGATTAGGTTCAGATCCGGTGTACTCGACGGGTATTCAAGCTCCAAGTCGTTGCTGAATGAGCTTCTGCAGCATCTCCAAATGCGCGCGTTCGTCTGCTGAGGGCGGCGGCGGATCTGCGTTGGACATGGCTGAGGAGACAGCCGGGGGAGCTTCGGACTGTTTCACGTGAGTTAGCGCCGATGATCAAAACAAGGCCGGTGGGCTACAGGCAGTCTTACAGTGAGACCGAGGATGAGCGCATGGACTTTGCCCTCACCCAGGTTCGTTTCTGGCATCTTGTTTGCCAACTGTGCCAGAGCCAGGGCTGCTTGCTGCTGTGGGAATGGATACGCGATGAAATTTTGCATCGACGCTCTGCGCCGTGATGCAGTATCTGCAGCCTGTCGAGCTTCGACCTTCTTCCCTACACGGCCACTGCAACGCATTAGCGATGAGTGTGATGACTTGCTGATGCGATTGTACATACCTCTTGACCTTGCTGACGAAGTCAAGGATGAGTCCCTTCTCGGGGACACGGAAGATCTTGGAGTTGACATCCTTGGATTCATTGTCGCCAAACACATAATTGCCTTCGCCATCAGTGTCATCGTCAGGATCGTTCGTGATATCAATCAAGCCGTTGTTGCGCATACCACGTGAAAATGTTGACTCAACGTATTCGGGTTGCTTGCGCACTCGGACTCTACGTGGCACCCGAGCTACCGGCGCGGCATCGGCCATCTCAGAATCCCCATCTTTAGAAATCAAATCGTTCTGCAGCAGGAGACCACTGCGAAGGTCATGTTCGATATGTCGAGGACATCTCCAGGCGTCCCGCTGAGATGCCTCAAGGCTGATGTGTGGCGGGTTAGCGAGAGGTGGGTCGACGCAGTCCAAGTGCCAGTACGCGTGGCAAAAGTCACACTTCAGCATTTGGCGCTTGTTACCACTCGACACTCCGCACTGCGTGCATAAGATAACTTTGTGGTCAGCATCAATGAGCTTTGTGTATTCGGGTCTCTGGTAGCCATAGCCACTGTTCTTCGCCCTGTTGTGATGTCAGTGCCAAATCACGCGACGAAACGCGTCACACTTACAGCGGAAACTTCTTGACCTCCTCAGAGTACGAGCCATCAGGACGTGCAGAAACGCCCTCGAAGTGATTCTGGATGTCTGAAGGCAGAGCAAACGCGCGAGGGTTGGTACGCTCGAGTTTGTTGAAGAGCGGACCCAGGCTGGGATACGAGTCTGCGGAATCGTCGGGTGCAGCAGACTTTGCGTTGCACTCATAGCAGTAGAACGCTCCATCCGGAACCTGAGTTCGCGGCGGATCGCAACAGAGAAGATGAAAAACGCGTGGACAGTTTTCGCAGCATACAAACTCGCCTGCACCCCTACACGCAGAGCAAAAGTCGTCGCTCTCTGACTGCGGCGAGTTCTGACATTCTGTTAGAGGTGAAGAAAGGACAGAAAGTGGAGGAGAATATGGAAATTTGAGTGGCGTGACGTTTGTAGTGAGCAGCATTGATGTTGAGGATGAAAAAGATAAAATGTGGTTGATGGGTTGTGTGGTGAAAGAGGAATGGTGTGGTTGGATGCTTCGGAATTCCAGTGGCACTTACCGGGTCGTTGTCATCAGGCCCCAGCTGTCTCGAACCGCCACCGCCAGTAAAGGCTACACCAGCAATAGGTCCTGCATCTCGGTTTTTGACCGGCCTGTACGTGTAACGTTAGCACTGTAATGACTTGATGGTGTGTTGAGGAATGTACGATGCGAACACGTGCAAACACGTAGAGCTTGCTCAGTCGACGCCTTACAGCCCTGTGCCAAAGCGGGTACATGCATCGACCAACACTGAAAAATGACAAGGATGCTGAGAAGTTGAGCTGAAAATACTTACGATCGTTTCGTCCTCGCGCCCTGTCCGTTAGTGAGCTTGACCCGCTTAGGTGCCGGTCCCATTGCAGGCGTTGAAGGGCGCGACGACACAGCTGGTTCGAACTGAGGTGATGAGAACCGTGACGGATCCTCTCGTATACGCTTAGTACCATGATTTGGAACCCGCCCAGCGCGTCGCGGTTGATCAGAATCAACAGGAGGCCCCACCGCGATCTGAGACTCGGTCAAAGACTCTGTCTCAAGAATCTCATCATCGAAGCGGACATCGGAGATGGGAGGAGGAATTTGCTCAAGTTTCCGGATAGGCTGCTCATCGACCATAGCTTTTCGCATCTCATTGAGTCGCTCATCTTCCGCTTGCTGCTCCGCGGTCGGTGGCTGTAGCTTGTGTGCATGCTTCCCGAATAGCCTCCCGGCATTGCCTTTCATCTTTTTAGCAGCACGTGCAGCCGCAAGATTCTTTCCTTTCTTTGGGGCTACAACTGGCGCAGGTGCAGTAGGTTTTCCATTGACCTGTACAGGCTCTGGAGGGCCTTTCTGGACAATCTCTTCATTGACATCTGATAGCTCAGAATCGCTCGCCCCAGTGTCCGGCGTCCTTGCGGCTGGAGTTGGTGCCGTGGTAGAAATTCCTCCGTCTAGTTCCATCGCAGAATCCGGCGCCAGACTTCCATTGGTAGCGGTTCGTTTTTGGGGCGACTTGGACTGCATTCTCGGCGTTGACTCGGCTGAGGTATCAGCAGTCGCTGGAAGAGCGGGTGCGGTACTAAACGGATGAGGTAGTGCTTGGCCTGAATCTTGATCAAGAGCTGATTGCAGTGCTTCGTGCGAAAAGTTTGTAGCCGAATTTGTAGAGTTCATGAACTGTCTATCCTGGTAGTCGTTGACAGCCGAGACAGAGTCATCAGGAACGATCTCACTACTGGCCCTTGGCGATGGCTGCTGACTGAAGAACGAGGCATCGTGATTCATTGCAGCTTGTTGGTCAAAGCGCCTGTCTTTGCTCAAGCCCAACCTCGTCTTTTCCTCCTGCTTGAACTGCTTGATGAATTTGCGAAATCGGTAGAGCTGTTCACTGGTGCTCTTTCCATGAATTACTGATTCGATGGCGTCTGCCAAGGCGGAGTCTGTTTTGCTCTGCTCGTAGGCGCGCCGCAAGGCGATGCCCACGTAGCGCTTGCCAGTGTGACTGTTGGCTTTGGAGATGGCATCGTTGACAGCAATCTGGATACGCTGAGTCGCAGCTTCAACGGGCTCTGACATGGAAACAGCTTGAACTGCTGGACTGGCAGAAACAGAGGTGCTCTTGGTGTGGCCGTTCTTGACGGGCGTCTTGCCATTGACAGGTGTCTTACTCTGCACTGGCGTTTTGCCCCTGACAGGAGTTTTTGACACCTTCACCTTCTTCTTCGCCTTCGTCTTGGGCTCGTAGTCGTCGTCCTCGTCGTCTTCAAGCATGGGCAAGCCAACCGGCATCTCGTCCTCCTCTTGCCGCTCCGAGTCGTCCGGCTCGAGCTCAGGAGCTGGAGTGACCTCTGGCGTAGATCCAACCTCGTCACCTCCAAAAACCGCACTCTTCCCCAGTAGCGAATGTCGAGCAGTGGGCGGCCCGTCGAGAGCGCGCGCGCGCTGTTTGTCCTTTGCCTTTGGAGGCACACCGAGGGGGGCCATATTCTCCAAGACGCCGTGCCGCGCAAAACCGTGCTCTTCGAACGACGGGGCGAGAGTTTGCGGTTGGGGTTCAGTCCATTCGGTGATTGATCGCTGCTTCTTCTCGTTGGTGTGCTCGCTTGGAGTGCCGGTAGGTGAGGCGAAGGGCGTGGTGCTGGACCTTTGTTGCGATTTAAAGTCGCGCGACTCCCGGAGAGACTTGCGGAGGGCCGGCATGGCGAAACTACAGTTTGGTCAGCGCGCTGCAACAGACACGAGCATGAGGAGAGTTACTTCACGTGTTGTCCGAGAATTCAAGACGCCGCAATGCCGTGCCCGTCGTGGTGGGTCGGTAGTGCGAGAATGAGAGTCGCTGAAGGTTGTTCGAGGGTGCCCTGGACGCTTGGACGGGCCTTCTTATTATGTCAGCCCCCTACGCAACCGCAAATATCGCGGTATCCTGTAGGATCTCCAAGTTAGATTTGCGGATAGACAGAGGCTTCCTCGACCGGTTCATCGATTTTGAGCCTCAACAAAAGTGGTGTATCGTCGTGGTGGTGGTGCAACTATTCCAAAGGGAATGTACAATACCAAGTCCGCTTTTTTCTTGACGTGCCCATCTCACCTTCACCAATCGCAACCTGTAGATATCGCCGCACAATCTCTGAATCTATACTCAAATACAGACAGTGTACGGCCAAGTTATCTGGTGCTGCTACAAGAAAGCTCTTGACGGACAAATACTCCTCGCATCATCCGTTCAGGGGTATTCTCTGCATACCTATTTTGCCTTATCTCACCTTGTGCCTGACTGTCTACGTGGAAAATATATACGTCCTGTCGTCTAAGGCGATCAGGAAGCTTTGGGACATTCACTATAGTCACTCTATTCGGCGCATGCAGAACAATAGCGTGTGGGACAGACAGACCTGAACGAAGACCCGAACGACGACGCGATATAGTCTACCACTTGCTCCATCCTCTGAGACTAATATTCCGCGCATGAAAACGGTTTGTTGCAACAGTGTGCTTGTATCCCGTAGTCATAATCGCTCATCATCGGGTATGCTGAAGCCATGTCTGGAGGCTAAAGACGCGTTGACATGCACGGTCTCATCTCGCAGATCATAGGGGCACATTTCGAGCTCGAGACTGTTATACATTATGTGCTGAATCAGTTTCAACAACCAAAAGCTATGGTAGATGACGTCCGGAGAACTGATCTTTCTTTTTTGTGAATTGCTATCGCTTCTACATAATCGTGTGCATGACCATACGATAAGGCATATCAGACCTAGGTCAATTGCCGATTTTGTTTCCGGGGCTGCCGTTTTTGCGATCTCAAAACAGTCCGTGTCATCCAGGTTCATAGTCGAGAGGCGGGTATGGCGTTACGGTTCCCTAGAACCTACATCTACTCTTCGTCATCATCGTCCTCCTCCTCTTCAGCGGCGGCACCGCCCTCAGCGGCCTTCTTGGCAGGCTTCTTCTTCTTCTTCTTGTTCTTCTTTGTTGAAGTCTTGCCAATAGGCTGTTCCAGAATTTTGAGGATCTCCTCGTCCTCGATCTTCTTGTCAGACTTGTACTTGGAAGTGTCAATGGCAGTAGGTTGAGCTAGGCGCTGCATTCCGTTCTTGGTGATTGCTGTTACGATGTTAGCTAACGAATTTGCCTATGTGATGCTCTACATCGAGCAAGATGGTTCATGTTTGAGAGATCAAACAAGCGAGCACATCGGCCAATATCGGACATCTCCTGAGCCAGGAGCGAGCAGGGGAATCCTAGAACTTACCAACAGTTGTGAACACCCTAGCTACGGGCTGGTTGTCCTTGTCAACGACGACTTCGTACTGGCGAAGTACACCAGTACGAACACACTCGACAACACCAACCTTGGCGCCCTTCTCGTCCTCAAGCTGTCGCAGACTGAAGGGGAAGGTACCGAACTTCTTGACTACTTCAGACAAGAGGCTTCGCGAGGTAGGGCGCTTGAGCTGGTAGGTGGTAGCCGTACGTCGGTGCAGAGTAGTCCTGTTGCCATTGTTCTTGACCTTGCCGCTTCCGAGACTGACACCCATCTCAACACCCCACACCTCACCGACCTCAGGAAGACCGTCACCCCTGACACCTTCGCCAGGCGCAAGGATAATCTTCTTCTTGGATTCTATCTCGTTGTGGTCGAATTGCCAGATGGTAGTGCTCTCGACGAGGTTGCAGCCGTAGGCCTTGACAACCTTCTCAAGCATGTTGGTCATCTGGCTCTGGGTGTAGGGCTTCTTTGTTGCAGCCTTCTTTTGCTCTTCTTCATCGCCGTGGGGGACCAAGCTTGGAGGCACCATCAACCTCAGCAGGAGCTCGTTGGCGTAGTGTGTAGCCAGAAGGAGATCTGCCTCGCGTCCGGTGACTTCCTCAGCGGCGCCAACAATGACATTGTCGCAAACAATTGCGCAGAAACCATCGATCTGGGCGCCCAACTGAATCTTGACAACCTCTCCCTCCTTCAGTGTCGTGGCGGCTTCCTCGGTGTCGGACTTGAGTGGTGTGTATGGGGTGATGTAGGCGCTTGGGGAGATGGTGGTGCAGTGTCCAATGCCCTTCACGACCTTCTTGCCCTTGTAGACCTTGGCAACCTCCTCGTCTAGGAGCTTGTCACCGCGCTCACAGAGCTCGACAATGCTGGCATCGGCAACGATCCATCCTGAACCGGTCAGTTTTGTGTCTGATTACGCGCGTGAAGTAAGCGCGAGCTTGGAGAGCATCGTACCGGAGACTTCCTTGAGGACTTTCTGGGAGATTTCGGCGGCGACCTTGTACTTGGTGATAGTATCTGGGTTCGCCAAAGTGTAGTCTGCAATATGGCTTAGCTCCTGCGACTCATTGACAAAGACAAAACTGTGCTTTAAGCTATGTCTCTGTCTAAAACAGCTTCATATGTCGACGACATGCATAGGGAAGGATGATTGAGCTTACCGACAGCTGCGGTTTCGGCCATCTTGAGTATAGTTGAGTGTGGGAAGATGGGCTGGAGCTAGAATTGGAGTGGTGCGCGAGGTCGTTCCTGTGTTCACAGACCAGCCCCTCAGTGGGGTGGTTTCGAGCTTTCGCTTAGCCAAAGCCCAATGACGACGATCGCCTGACAACGTCACACTCGACCTGCTTTTCTTCCCAAAGTGAATTAATCTGCCTGGATCTAGACATTAGGCTTGTGATCATCTGGGCTACGGTGGATGAACTCCGTATCTCTGCATGACCGGACACAGGTGAAAACGCAAAGCAATTTCACTACTGTCAGGTAGCTGTCAATTGTGTACGCGTGCAATCCCACACTAATGACAGTCTTGATCCAGACAACCTTGGAACGAAGCAAGAGCCCAACCTCAAATCTTGAGCAATCCATCTACAACAACAGCCCGATGATCACTACCATAAACCCCATCCTCGAATTTATTCGGCAAAACACTATATCCCTCGAGCACCCAATCGCTCTTTCCTCTCGGTCCCACAAAAACAAAGTCAATCAGCGTCTTCGTCTGGTCATCAAAATCCGTAAACGTGTTCGTGTCCCCGTACAGCCACTTGGCCTGCTCCTTTGTGTCTTGCATGATGGACAAACCGTTGTTTAGGATCTTGTATGCTTCGCCAGAAGTCTCAGAGTTGAGGTCACCAGCCAGGAAGAAAGGTAAGGTGGAAGACGAAGTATTTGAGGTGGGCGAAGTGACATTTACAACGACCTCTTCGACAATCTTCGCAGACTCGCGGCGCGAGATAGCGCCTGCGTTGTCAAAGTGCGTAGACATCGCTACCATGGCTTTTTTACTTTGCTTGTGCTTGAATTCGCCCAAATTGAGGATGCGGACAGATCCTGCGTCCCAGCCTTTCTTCCCTACCGCTCCGTTCTCGTTTAGCCAAACGGTCTGCCATGTTACTAGTTCCCAGATGGCTTTCCGATAGATGATAGGACTGTATTCGCCTTTCGTTTTGCCATCGTCTCTGCCTACGCCGATGTAGGTCCATTCGTCGCCCAGACCGGCCATGATATCAACTAGCTGCTCATTGAGTACTTCTTGAAGACATATGAATGATTCTGGGTTGTGTAAGGTATTGTAGTGTAGCTCATTGAGGATCAATTGCTTGCGTGTGGACCAGGGCTTTTCGCCTGTGGCTGGCGGGTCGGCGGCATAGCGTATATTATGGGTCAGAATCCGAATTGGGAGAGTGGCAGCGTGAGCTTTCATGATGAGGGTGGCGAGAGTGGTGACGAGAAGGGCTACTTTGAGCATCATGCCGGCGGGCTGAGTATAGCCGGAACCGAACACGTGACAGAGTGATGGTTTGAGGCAGAGACAATATGCTTTACGTAGGCAATCTTGAAGGGAATTCGGGGCTGCCGAATGAACAGAGACCTTCACGGTACTTAAAAAACAATTGCACAGCCTTGAAGATGTGAACAATAGTGATTGACGCCTACTTACATTGCTGCGTCGAAGACTACCAACCCCTTTATACCTTACAAACGACACCAGCAACGAAAAGAAGTAGGAAGGTACTTAAAGTAGCCTCGGACAAAGACCAAGAATTGCGATTGTGTCCACTCTTCCAAGTGGTAATCCAAGACGGAACAACTGATTTTCAAGTTGTAGCCGGCAAATGAGAACGCCGATGCACCAGCACGTTGTCTGTATGCCCAATCCCACATGCTCCCAACTGATCCGCTGTTTTACACGGGAATTTATACCCTAGAATGCGCTTGCATATATCAAAAAGACCCCGCTATGCTTCTGAATATCATTTCCTATTCGCGCTGCCAGAAGGTCTGGACGCCCTGCCCTACAAAGGCTGTCCAGTCCGTTTGCGCACGTTCTCCATATGTACGCGGTTCTTCAGATGTAGTTCGAAATTATTGACTGTTTGCTCGGGTCCAGCATTGTACAATTTGCCCGGGCAGTCTATGCACCGGATTCGTGGCAAGAAATATGCTTTGTGGTTCGCTGGCAGGGGGGCGTTTGGTTGTAGCGTATCAAGCTTGACTTGTCGGGACACAATATCGCCCGTCTTCGGGTCCTCGTAGCGCTCGTTCATGACAGCATAGCGCATAGTAGATTCGAAGAGCTCGCCGGGATTTCGATCACGTAGATCCTGGAGTGCTTGTTGAAGCCACGGAGGAGTGGGAGGCTGATGTGGATTAGTCAGAGATCTACATAGACGTGGGCGAGGATCTTACATGTTGGGAAACGGCGGGCGTTGGCCAAGGTGCCTCAAGTGAGCCGTCTGGCCTGTACTGCCACTGCTTGTTCTGGGTCGTTGGTGTAGGCGTAGGCGGAGGTTTCGGCGAAGCTTCTATCGAAGCTGATGCGGTTGGGGTTGAACGAGTAGGTATGGCTGGTGATGGTGGTGGTGGCATTGAGTTTGCGGTAGGTGTGCTTCGTGTTGGGGGTTGCGAGGGGGCCACCATGGGAGTCGAGGCGGGCTTCGCGAAAGCCCTTGGGTTCCTCTGCAATTCCCTAAGTTTAGCGGGCGATATGCGGAGTTTAACTATGAGTGTTGTAGGCTCAGATACACTCTCTTCCCGCGCCTCATATCGTAGTGATCTAGATGCCCGTGGCTCGTGATGAGGTTGAATGTTGGACACTTCAGGGGTTGCTGATCTTCCAATAGCGGACCGCATAGCAGCTTGAGCAGCAGTGGCAGCTCCACGCATACCCCGGGTCCGCGCAGTCCCTCCGGTCAGTTGTGCAGGTGCTGGAGAGTCTACTACCGATTCGTCACTATCCGATTCGTCTGAGCTTCCATCAGCACCACGACGGCGACCCTCTCTAATTTTGCGTGTAGCCTTGAAGAGCTGACTGTCCTCGATGGTTTCCGCAGCACCAGGTAGGACTGAAGAAACAACCAAGGTGCGTACTGTCCGTTGGCGGTCTTTAAGGTCTGGCAGGGCAGGGCCGCCACGTCTGTTGACAGATCGTTTCTGGCGCCGCTGTTCGCGCATAATCGATAGTTCGGCTCGTTCTAGGTCAGCGTTACTTAGTTCATATAGGTACGGCTGGTAATCCTTTGTAGACTGCATCGGGCGGAATACAGAGGGGAGTGGTGAGGCCAAGAAGTTGTCCTGGATATCGGTGTCTTCAACTGGTCGTCCATCGAAGGGGTGGCCTGTGATGTACAGGCTCTTTGTGAACATCTGACACTGCTCTCTTATGGAATGGGCAATGGCGGTAGTGAACTCTCCGGACAGTGACAAATCAGCAGCCATCTGCCTTGCAAATTCCTCGGGCGCATTCAGAGGATTGTTGATTTCCCACTCGAACTGGTCCACAAGAGTGTGTTGGCCAATGGTAATGTTCAATTTGATCAATATCCGCATCTCGTCATTCTTGTATGCCGAGTATGGCTGATGGGGGTCCAGAGGCTCATCATCGAAGAAAGCGTGAGGGTAGTAGTCCTGAACCTGCTCGTGGATCTCGCGATCGATTTGTTGCATGACGTTCTGACGCAGCTCGGGAGGTATCTGGAAGTCCTCGACGAGGGTCTGGGCGAAGAGCACAGGGTTGGTAACACGATCATGGAGGTTCCAGGTAAAAGTGTCGCGTAGTTTCAGTCTGTCCAATTCGATGTCCAGACGCACAGGCACAAGCTCTTCGATCTGGTCTGCTTGCTGCAAACCCTTCTCTTTCGAAACCTTGAGTTGCGGCGCGAGTCGACGGCCGGCGCGCTTGGCATGTTCGGGATATAGCAGCTTCGTTTGCGGTAGGGCTCGCGGGTCTCTGGGATCGGGTGGTATGTCGGTCACGCCATTGCCGTAGCCAGCATAGCCATATCCAAAGATGGCGCCGGGGTTCTGTCGTCGGACAGGGTATACCTCGTCGCGGAAGAAATGGCGCAGGTCGTTCAATTCGCCATAGACCTTCTCGGAATGTTTGTTGCGCTCGTACTTGTTTACGCTGTCGAGGAGATCGCGCGCAATGTGCCGGTCGAGGAGATGGGCCTGCGAGGTTGTGGGTTTCGCGCCATCGTCGTGAGAAGGCGTGCGTGAAGACTTGCGGGTTCCCGAACGCGATCGCTTTCTACTAGGCGACGCGCCGTTGATGGCTTCGGGCTGCGCTGGCGATGCCGTGTCGCCCTGCGCGCCGGTCAGGTTCAAGCCAGAAGCCGCCATGACAGCCTTGGCCTTCTGCTTTCCGTCTCGAATCGCGTTGTTCTCGTTGGACGCGCTGTCGGGTCCATTGATGCTGGTTGGGGCGTTTGCGGGTTGGACAGCACCTTCACTGCTGTTGCCGTTTGTGGACGCGCCGTGGGCGGGATCGAGGCCTTGGGAGTCGGCTAGCGGCGGAGAGGGCATCGCGTGGTGAATTATAATGCGCGCGGCAGGAGCGACCTGCGTGTTTGCTGCCCTTGTTAGAGCCGAGGCATGGAGGCTGGAAGGAATGATGGAGGCTCGAGTGGGTCGATGGGCGTCCCATGCGGTCGCGCCTGGCAGAAGAAGGGGGCGGGTGCGCGATGCCATGGCGACAGCAACAACAGCGCCGCCATCTCAAGAAAGCGCATCCATGGCGCCGCGACCATGAGAACTAATAGCAACAATACAGAAAAAAACACATACCTTTGGGAACATGCAATTTGCGCGTCGTCACAGGTCACAGGGCTGGGCTGGGCCTCTGTTTGGCTGTCCAGGGAAAGAAGTGCCGATCGGGTAGTCAAGCGCGCAGCAGCCCGTCTGTAAGCCTTTCACAGGCGAGAGTATTGGCAGGAACCTAAATCGGCGAAACACCTGCTGCGGTACCTTGGGCGGGGTCGCGGCCGTGGATAAGCTCGGAACTTGGAATGATGTGTTGTGTGTCAGGCAGAGGCATTGATGGATTTGCGCCAAAGCAGCCAGTTCTGCCGCTTGCAAGCGCCGAGCCAGCCAAAGCCCATAACGAACACTGAAGCTGCCCGGCACGCTCCAACGCAGCCGCAGCCTCTGTTAGTCGTGGTTTCTTTCACCAGAGCAGAGGCCATGATCCTTCTTACCGGCTGTTCCACATAGCTACACTCGCACTCCATCGTCTCCACGCACTCATCACGTGCGACGCCATGACGAATGCTAGCGCATGCCTAGCTAGGCAAGCTTCGAGTAAAAGCCACCGTGCAATGCACCTTGTTCGTTATTGAATAAAGGTTGTATTTCATGGAAAGAACCGCCTAGTAGAAAAGAAGAAGAAGAAGCGTCTGGTATACACCTCGTCATCGCTTTCCGACGCCCTCGCATCCAGATTCGTCGTAGTTGCATCAATGCTAGAAACTCACAATACCCTACATTTTCCATACCCGTCCCGGACACACCGCCGCTTACAAGTCGCCGGCTATGTGCGTCTGATCTACTGGCTGTAAATGCTCCAAACGTTCATGTTCGCTGTTGCTGGGGCATGCGCCCCTCTCCCTGCGGCCCAATATGTCACTGCTTTTGATGCGTCTTGTTCGCTCAAAGCAATGAGTCAAGTCGAGTGAAGACACTCAAGCACGCAGCAACAACCTGTTGTTCAATCATTAGCACTCTGTTGTCATGTTAGGAATCAAAATGCAATCGGCTTACCTCGAGTTGAAGCTCCTTATCCTTGGAACCATTAACTTCGTCAGTGATGAGCTGACCCAGGTTTGCGCCGACACCCTGTGAACCCCCCTGCCTCTTTGCAAAGGGCCATTGTGAGTACTCTGCCAGCAATTCGTCTACTTGAGCGAAAGCCCGTTCCCGCGCTTCGTGACCCAACGTTGTCAAGGCGTTCTCTAGTACGTTGGCGGCATAGGCGGCGCAGACCATGGTGATGGTTCGAAGCACCCTGAACTCCAACTCTTCGGGGAGGAACTGGCTGCCAGGAAGGACCACGGTACGGTTGGTGAGAACGTTCCGGACTCTACGTCGAATCTCCTCCTTTGCGCCGCCGTCTGCAACGGGGTGTGTAGCCATGTCGAACAGGAGGAAGTTCTTCTTTTCGGTGCGCAGGATGCCCTTGTCGACGAGGCCTTTGCATAGTCGTTCGCGTACTTGTTTCAGTTGGTAGCCAATCTTCATGAGATTCCATGTCTCTCCTGTTTGTATAGTTAGTGTCGAGCACCAGCCTTGGTATGCCACGCCATGGACGTACCGCTCATGAGATCGATCCAGGAATTGACGCTCATCTTCTCGCTCGACTTCATCATCTTTAGGGCCTCGTCCAGTAGGACCTCTCCAGTCAACGTGTCATCAATAACTTCGATGACCCTGTCTGCGAGGGGGAAGCGGCGTCGATTCGAGTCCTTCTGCATGCTCACACGGCCTCTAAAGGCCAGTTCTATGACAATGCATCCTCGTAGTGCATAGGAGATGTTGTCGTTCCAGAACGACAGGTATCCCTATTCTCACTCATCAGCCTGCTGCCCCTAGCCCGCCCGCGGCCTGCGGTGTACACACCTGTTTGTCTTTCAGTCCCATAAGGATAATCTCCTCCATGAGCGTCAGCTTTGGCTGTTTGCTCCTCTCTGCATTTTCGCTGATATCGCGGGGATCGAATGCAATCTTGTGGCCGTTCTCGGAGCTTTCGTAGGAGGTTTCGGGGGTGCGGTCGTCGTTGCGCTTGGGTGCTGGCGAGCTGACCCGGCTGCCCTCGTCCTCGCCGTTGCCGGCAGCGCCGCCGCCTCCTCTCCGGCGCGTCAGACCAGAGCTAGAAGCCATCAGGTGTGGTTGTGGAACGGGTGGGGAGTGTTTGTTGAAATTATGGGTGATGCTCCTCAACGGGCGCAGGGATGAGGGCGCTTGGGCTGCGCATACGCCGTGTCGGACTATGTGGGACTTTCGGTGAAGGCGATGTAAGAGAGCGTGGCGGATCACGGCAATGTAGCGATAAAGGGGGTATCGTAACGCGCGTGTGCAGGTTTCGAGTTGGGGGTTGATTCTCGTGCCACATCTATCAGCGGACAGGGCTCGGTCTCGGATGTGCCAAGATTAGTTACGCACGCCTCAGCAATCAAGCAAACAGGCGTCCAACAACACAATAGCCAGAGCAATAGGAGGTGGATAGCGTCAATTCTATCAGAAGTACACGGTGCCGACCCAGGCGACTGTTTTACAAGGAGGCATATATATAGCGATGCCGGTAGGACCGACTACCAATTCCACATCCATCATCTCTCACCCAGCGCGGATCCCAATATAATTTAGTGAGCTGCGATATGATTAGTATCAACTAACCTTGGGTTTTGCAACTGGAGACTTACCATCGGGCTGAGCCATGATGTAATCCACTGCTTGCTTGACTGTAATACCATCAGTATGTATAAATCTGACGCTGCGCTTCAGACCGTACCGCTGTGGATGGCATCGGCCTCCTTGTCGGGGATTTCAATGCTGAACTCCTGCCAAATTATCAGATGTGTGCCTTTCGTGTATCGCGTGCAGGCCAACTAACCTCCTCAATCGCCATGACTACTTCTACGGTGTCCAGGCTGTCGAGACCGAGGTCGTTGTGGAAGTGCGATTCGCCATTCAACTGCAGACTGTAAGTATTTGTTTCCAAGCCCTCACACATGCATGGTAGCTACCTTGGAGGCATCGGTGACCTGCGTCTGTGTTAGCCACCGCCTAAAAATCTAGTCGCATAATCGTTACCTTGTCGAAGTTCTTCAAAAGGTCCATTATCCTGCCGGTGACCTCATCTTTTGACAGACCAGCGCTCGCGGCGTAGCATCGTACAGCCTGGAAGTATACGGAGGGGTTCATTTGCTTTGGCTGAACGAAAGAGCTTCGCGCAACGGGGCGAGCCATTGCGGCCTGGCATCGTGGGGCAGCGCGGACAGCGGACCGGGCGGACCTGAGAAGTGCTGTTCGGAACATTGTGACGGGTTGCGAGGGTGTCGTGCGAGGTAGCAGGGTCGGTGGTGGTGGTGGTGATGTTGATGCTCGACTAGAACTTCAGACTAAAGTTACATTACGTTAGTCAGCCGTCAGGAAGCATTTCAGTACGAGTAGACAGACGCACCTCCAATGATCACACCGACTCGTATAGAACACCAAGGCAGACTTGAAGATCATTCACAGCCCCTCCAAGATCACTAGGTACAAATCTCTGACCCCGGAGTTGCCTCCCACTGTTGTTGCCGTCATTGGACTTCTCGGCCAATCGCAGCTTCCGCGTTACAAGCGACAACCTCAAGTTTCGAGCTTGACGACAACCCCATATCCGCCAGCAACCCCCCCAACCCGTCAGCGACTCCACCACGCTCACAATGGCCAGCGCAAAGCCATTGACAATGTTGGCGCGCAGCCGCCCGGCAGCCACGCTGCTCCGGTCACTGCAGTTCGCGTCTGGACGCCTCCCCTCGCCCGCCACCGTCGCCTTCTTCTCTACCACTCTATCCCGAGCCGCCACTCCAGCAGGACCCCCGCCGCCAGGCTTCCGGTTACCAAAGCCGAAGCGATGGGATGAAGGAGAAGGTGCATTGGACCGCGCCGGCAAGTACTTCTTGCTTATGGAGATGTTCCGTGGCATGTACGTGTCGTTGGAGCAGTTTTTCCGACCACCGTAAGTACCTTAATGCGCAGGCTGGTAGCATGCTCGACATCCAGGATACCCGATCTGACGTTTTTGAAGATACACCATCTTCTACCCATTCGAAAAGGGCCCCATCTCACCCCGCTTCCGAGGCGAGCACGCTTTGCGACGGTACCCTACAGGTGAGGAGCGTTGCATTGCTTGCAAGCTGTGCGAAGCCATCTGCCCTGCGCAGGCCATCACAATCGAGGCTGAGGAGCGTATGGACGGTAGCAGGAGGACCACACGCTATGACATTGACATGACCAAGTGCATCTACTGCGGTCTCTGCCAGGAGAGCTGCCCAGTCGACGCCATTGTTGAGGGTATGTCCATGTCAGTCGTGAGCTCCAAAATATGTGCTAACATGATATAGGACCCAATGCTGAGTATGCCACCGAGACACGAGAGGAGCTGCTTTACAACAAGGAGAAGCTGCTAGCAAACGGAGACAAGTGGGAGCCTGAGATCGCCGCTGCTGCCCGTGCGGATGCGCCTTACAGATAATGTAGAGGAGTGGTGCGAGATTACTGTATATATAGGAGGAGCGGTTCCGCCTGACACAGCCAGTCGGGTTTCATTTGTCAATGCATCAGTACAAGAAGGGACCATTCCAACAAATGTGGGCGATATTCAAATTATTGCGAACATACATGTAGACACTGGGTGTGCTGCGATCAAGGGCCCGATTGGATGCATTGCTATTGTTTCGCGAGACAGCACTGACATTTGAACTAATACAATCGAGGAAAAGACATCGCAATATTCAAGACCCTGATACTCCTAACGCTCATGTACGATGCCTGCCATGATATGGTATCAAACGCCAAAAGCCTTCCAATAGTGCACATGCTACCTCCTTTTCCCTTTATGTACCGTCATTCCACCCAGCCTCATAATCATTTCCCCTTGAAAGTACCCTCAAAGCCCGGTCGTTTCGTGACCTTCTTGCCGGGCTTCTTAACCTTCTTTTTACCCTTTTGACCCTTGTCCTCCTTGCGCTTTTTCAAGTTCTCCTCTCGCTTCTTTTGCCTCGCTGCCTTTCCTTGGTCGACATTGGTCAACCTCTCCTTCCACTCTTGCTTACTCTTGTCTTTCTGTTTTTGCTGACGCTTGAGGCTCTTCTTTAGAAGGTTGACGTCGTCGAACACCTTCTCACCCTGTGCCCTTTTCTTAGCGGCAAGCCACAAATCCTTCTCTTGGATGTCTTTGCGCTTGTTCTCATCAAAGGCGTTAAGACGAGCCTGCTTCTTCTGCGCAGCCTCTAATGCAGTCTTCGCGTCTGACTTGCCCTTCTTCTTCTTGGATTCGAGGAATCCGGAAAGATTTCCTTCAAGCTGTGCGCCATCCCATGCAATCTTGCCAAAGTTGAAATTGCGCTCGTGCTCCGGCGACCTCGCTGGGAATATGGAAGGTGAGCCCGAACCGCCTCTTATCCGTGCGAGCTGCTCCTCTGCTTGTTGACGAGCCTCATCTTCCTTCGCATCCTGACGAAGGGCCTTCTTGGCAGCTTTCTTCTCGGCCTCTTTTTTCCGTCGTGCCTCGATTAGCTCTGCTCGATTCCGCGCAGGACGTCCATCCGGACCGTCGGCCTTTCGCGCCGCACGCATAGCCTCTAGCTTTGCGTTTAATCGGGCGCGGAAATCTTCATGCTTTTGCGGGTCGATCGTGTACGACTTCTTAGCTTTCTTCTGTGGTGCTTCTTCGCCAGACTGAGGTAACGAAGAGTTTGATGAAGCGGCTGACGCGACCGAGGCTGTAGAGGAGTTGGAATTGGCAGTAGTGGAGGGAGCGGTAGACTGACCCTCTTCGACGAGACCGCTGACGTCCAAAGCTTCTATGCGTTCGTCTGGGTGTTCGTGTTCGTCTGCAGATTCGTCATCGTCTTCGACTTCGTCTTCTTCAGGTTGCTTGGCGGCGGCGAGATCTTGGAACGACGTCTGCTGCGACTTCTTCGCCTCCTCCTTTTTTTTGTTCCTCTCCTGCTTCTCCTTTCTCTTCTCTCTTCGCTTCTCTGCTTTCGCCGCAGCCTTAGCCTCGGCTTTTGATAAAGGCCGTGTCTCACCAGCTTCTTCGGTTTCCTCGACTACTGGCTCGGCGGGCTGCGTCTTCTGCTTCTTTGCCTTGCTCTTGATTCCCTCAAGAGGTTTCTCCTTTGTGATGTCCATGTCGAGGTCCGACGACTCAGGCTCAGATATTTCCTCACCCTCCAACTCGCGCTTCCGCTTTAGCGCGTTCTCGTCCATGACGTCTTTGGCGCTCTTGTGTGATGCAGGATCCAGCTTCGCTCGCTTGGCTGCTTGTCGTTCCTCGAGGGTCTGCTTCTTCCCTTTCTTTTGCCATTGCGTCTGCAGACATTATGTCAGCATAAAGCGGAGGCCCATAAGAGAAGAGATGCATACGCTAGTGATACTCTCATCCTTGCCGTAGTAGTCTTTGGCGGGTATCAGAGACATGAGGCCTTCGAAAGCCCGGGCATGGCTCTTCAAACGCTCCTGCAGCTCTCAGTTAGCGGCGAGAAGGACCGGCAGCAGTCGTTCCGCGATGCATACCTCGAGATTGTCGCCCATTGCGCATGAAACAGACACTGGTTACTCTTGGTAGTATAGTCTGTCCTTGTTCCGAAAGGTGCAGGGCGTAGAGTTGGCGGGGCGAGCGTGTCGTGTGCGGGTCGCGAAAATCGAGGTCAAAGGCCAAGATTTCAAATGTTCGCAGACTTTCAGCGCTAGGACCCTTGGTTGCTGCACCAATCAATCACCGCTGCCCCAGCCACCGCCCGCTCGCCCTTGACTCGAAGCAGGCTCGCGTGCTCCAGGCTCCTTCACCAGCATCAGCCTCGTCTACCCACAAAGCGCCGCGAGTCCGTTGATGATGCGCGCCTGTCAGATCCGCTTGTCTCTCGCGCTCAACGACGATAGGCCACGACCATCTGTTTGCTGTACATCAATAGTCGGTGGAGACGCGTCCGCACAGCCACCCCAACACTGGCACAACCTCGTCATTGCTTGCCTTTAATATATCCTAGGCAACGCCCGGGAGACCGCTGGTCATCTCCTAATAAACATCCACCTCGGTACTGTCTGGCTAACAATACTGCCATTGTCTTTCGCTCTAATGGCTACGCCCATCATTGAAGCCCGATCTCTCTCGTCGCTTACCGCTCTTGCTTCCAACCCACCAGCTTATCCAAGGAATCCTACTCATGAGAGGCATGAGCCACTAGTACTGTATATCGCCCGTGTTCCTGGCAGCAGAGGTACGGCTGTTAAAATGTCTTCCTCTGATGTAGGCCTAACGTGCTTCAGATGTCTTCTTATCTCCGATGAAGCCGCGGGAAAAGGTGGTAACCGCAGAAGACATACAGAGCTCACTCTATTTCGTTCACGTTGAGCAACCAGAAGATGCCTATCTTGTCAACCCTCCTGGATCTCAGGATTCAGAGTATACACAGCAGAGTCAAGATTCTTTCAACTCTGTCTCTACACCTATCGTGCCCAGGAAAGCGGTGCCTGGCATAACTACAGCTCCTGTCCGAAAACCTGTTCCTAGCACTCTCGCATCCATAAACAAGTATTCAAACAATCAGAACATCGATGCGGGAAATTATGCGCGGAGGTCTGCGATGCTCGCTCCAGAACTCAGCGACAGCCCCCGACGGTCATTCGATTCCAGCCAGCAGAACCAAGAAAATCGAAGGCCGATACCTTCACCGCGCAGACGATCCGAGAACCCATCGCGTTCTAGTGCGTCTCTCACCCTAATTCGGCGTGATCCTGCGTCCGGTGCGCAATGGAACGTTGCTCGCATTGAAGATCCGCCTGTTCTAGATGTTTCTTCCCCGACATCCAGCGATCCTAGCAACAAGAAAAAGATTGGAGCACCAATGTACATCGACGTATTCAATCCAGGTTACTCCAAGTTTCTTCATTCCGACACAACTGGCAAGCCTCTCCTGACAAGTCGGGATAGTGGCACATCTATCCAATCATTCCAAGCAGGGAATCACCCGTCAGCGAATGAGAACGTGTTCCGCCGACGAATCTGGATGGAAGGGTCACAGCATACAGGTGGCTTTGGCCACAGAAAACTCAACTCCCATGATTACAACAACGGGCGTCCTGATTCTAGAGGTAATCATTATGCGCAGACCAACTCTGCATCGACGGATGTGCGGGCTGCTCCCACTCCCCCATTCACGACACGGGAAGACCAGACGTACAGTAGCATTCAAGTCTCTGACAGACAAACGAGTTTCCGTGGTTACGTCTTTACAAGTCCGTGGAACGGCCGATGCGAGTTTGTCACAGGGATAGGTGGAGGATCGTTAAAGGTGGTTCTAGTTATACCAACGCGATGCGCCATAGATGATGCTGACTGCTGTAACAGTGTCGACATGTTGTCCCGGGACTTCAAGGAGCTCCACCCACAGCCATGACGGTTAGTGAAGTAAGATTCAACCTTCCGAGTAGTTCGAAAGGTACTACGCCTCGAGGTGAGGAATCTTCAAAACGCTCGTCGTTCTTTCGTCGAGGGCGTCACAGTCGCAACAACTCGTCTTTGTCACTCAGCCGTAATGAAGAAATCGAAGATGCTAGAAACTCGTTGGACCGTTTGGATCTTTCTCTAGGCCAGGAGTTCGCGGGTGGTGGTTTCGGTGGCAAGCAAGCAAAGTTGGGCAAGATCATCCTGGAAGATGAGGGCCTGAAGATGATGGACTTGCTAGTCGCGGCGAATATGGGACTATGGTGGAGGGCTTACGAGAAAGCAAGTGGAGGCTCCACGGGTACTCTATGATAAGCTGGTGATAGCCAAAGTCCGTGGAAGTGTGTGTCACAGTGTGCTATCACAGCAACAAGGATTTCCAAGAAAGATATCAGGCTACTTGTTCTCGAGATTTCCAACAAAGGATTCTGATTGTCTGCCCAACTATATGGGTGAAGACTGAGAGTTGCCTAGCAAGTCGAACCCCGCCGTATGTCTATACCTGTTCCACTCGAAATCGAGCCACTCCTGTCGTCCTAGGTTTTTGAATAAACTCATGACCTCTTCGCTGGGTCTCCAGTCGCCAACCTGCCACTGCACCACTGGAGTGGGTGCCGCAGCAACAGCATCGCCGTCCTTCTGCTTGTTATCACCACGCCCAGCAATGAACTTGACACCCCATCTGTGGCCGTTATCCATTGGCAATTGACTTTGCTCCACTTCTCTGTCGTCTGAAGGTTGCCACCACAGATGCGTGAAAATCTCAGCGTCTTCGAGGCTCGGCATATTGTCGCGTGTCAGAGACTTCGCAAATGCCGCAAGCAGGGGCTCGATTCGCTCCCTACAGGGCTCGATGCGAAACATGTCTAGCTCGTAATCGTACTCAGACCCGCCGGTCGGGCTGTCGTGGTACTCGCCGTCGAGGTCCATATCCTCGTCCGTATCGGTTTCGCGGGGGTAGTGTTCTGCGTCTGAGATCTTATACCCTCCTTGTTCAGAGTCGTGTGGATCCTCACCACCAGGGCCGATAAAGTACCACCGCCCGTCTGGACGGAGGCAATGAAACTCGAGCCGGAACCGCCGCATCTGTGACCACTGGTGGCCGGTTGATGCCTCAGGACTAGGGAATAGGTCTGAAGTGACCATAGCACGTACGTCGAACAGGCTTAGCTGCGTACCGAGCTTGCACAGCCCGACAGACACTGGGTCTTTGTCCGCAGGATAGATCAGATTTGGCCGGGCCACGGACTGGTCATGCTGGGCGAGTGAGAAGAAAGGCCAGAAATGTAATGAGGCTCTGGTCAGACTGGAGGGGATCCTTTTCCCGCAGAGATGTTTCTCCTGGTTCAAGATGGCGGCACCGAACTCGTGACGGGCGTCTCGTAAGGGGCCCTCCCACGGCCGGCTCAAGTGCTCGTTCATCACCCTACTCGTCGTGGAGGCGGGCATGGGCCGCTCCCACAACCACTTGGCATTCCACTCTTGTACAGCCGGCAGATGGACGAGGCACTGCAGTGGCACGAGGGTAGACAGAGGCCGTATGTCTTCCGCTGTATCGGCGTCCCCACCGCACTCTGACCTGATGGTCAGCCGACTCACAAATGGCAGGTCTGGTAATCTCTCTGGGTCGTGCAGCTGCAGGCGGCGCGAGTGATATCTGCGATGGTAGCAGTCTGGCTCCTCTGGGTCAAATCGTTGCGGCTCGATTATGAGCTCCATGTCGATGCGGGCTGGCAGATCCTCGACCTCGTTGTATGCGGCAGTCAACTGCTCATACAATGCACGGATGCGCACCGACATGTGGGCACTGATGGCGGTGGTTTCCTCGACAGGTTCATGGCAAGGCAGTTGCTTCTCTGCGTGTTCACTGACATCGATGAGGAGGAGCGGCAACGGGAGCCAATATTGGAAAACCCCGAACTTTGCGTTTAATGCTGCCTTGGCCTGTTCGAAGAGCTCACTCTCGAAATTCGGGTCGATCTCACGAAGCGGCATGTTGATTGATGTAACGTGATGGATCAGTGGTGAGGTTGGTTCTTTGCTTAGCGAGGGCGGGGGGCCTGATTGGAGTTAGAAAGAGATGTAAAGATAGGAGCGGACATTACTATATCTTCGCCGCAGCTACTGCGTGAGCATGCTATAGGTACCCGGAAAAGTAGCAGAGAGTCACCTGAGCAGAAACGAGGCGAGTTGCGAACGTAAAAGGTTACTCCATATGTTTTGTTGCCAAGCAAAAAGCTAGAACCAACCCGGGCGGTTAAATCACCTGAGGGTTCCAATAGTGTCGTACTCAGTGACTATATAAATTGCTCCTGAGTGATGGAGCAGAGGAATTAAACGGGAAATGGGTCACTGATTGTAAGCAGTCCGCAGAGACCCGCTATGCAACCAATGTCCCTTATCTAACATGTAAAGTCAAGCTGGCGAGGCTAGTTATGGTCATCTTCGAGGAGTTTTACGACAGGGAAGCCAGGTACTCATCATTTGAAGGAGCGTTGAAATAGTCATGTCGCAATACCCATGCCGTGTTCGGCGATGCTTGCAGATTTACCACAAATAATTCATCGTACTTACTTTCCAACTCAATACATCCATAGCAACGTGCCTCCCACAACATCGCGGTTTCCTTTTCTTTTAGCCCTCCACATATATCATAAGAAGCCAGCTATGTCTCGTAGTCTTCGAGACTCACCCACCAACAACTTACTCAAGACACTTCTAGCTCCTAGCAGCATACTTTGACACTCCTCTAATACCTCTGACCTAAACGTCTAACATCCCGGAGTATCTCCTCGCCGCATTGTCAGTTTAGTATGTTTTTGGCTCACCACAAGGTCTGCCTACTGCTCCGCACGATGCTCATCACTGGTATGATCCTGGTCCCCACCACCGTCGCCACGCCCGCCGTACAGGACCTTGTCGAACTGAGGAGTGTCATCAATGCGGCAGCAAGTGCCATCGGGGATCCCAATAATCCTAATCGTGGCTTCGGCTTCAATATTTTCGGTGGTAGTGGTCAAATGGGAACTGCAGACCTTGTCAACAACATTACCAATACCATACTTAGAGACAAGTTCCAGCTGGACACGAACAGAGTATGTGCCTTACCTCGGAACAAGCTGCTATACGGCCATTGCTGACACGTAACAAAAATAGACGTCTTGGCTTCTGCCAGACAATCTTGCAAATACCTCCATCCCCATCAACGGCACAACGTCCACGCCTTCTACTCAACCCACACCCACACTACCCATCACTGCCAGTCTTGCATTGCCTAGTGTTTTACCCACCACGACGCCCACAGTAAACAACCTTACTGTTGACCTTACCACCCCATACATAGAATACGTCCAAGCTATACCCAACTTAAGCAGCAGTCTCACAACTCTGGGCCGAAGTTTCCACCGCGAAATGAACAGTCCTATCACCGAAGCTGTCACCGGCCTCCAGCAAACTCTCACGACTTTCCAAACCGCAATGCTCGAGAGTAATCTCATCACCGCCCAGGCTGTTATACGCACTATCCGAGCGAGCAGTAGTTTGGAAAGTGCGTTAACAGCATGGAGCCGTTTTCTCAATCTGCCAGGTGGTGGAAGTGATGATGATGATGCGGGGTCTGCTTCGCCGTCATCAATCTCAGATAGGCCAGGCATCTTGGGTCGAGCGGAAGTTCAAAGGCCACCGCCTAAGGATGGTAGATTTTATACGCACCTTGAACTGTGGAATCGCTCGGAACAAAGAAACAAGGCGTCGGTTCAGGAGAAGACTGGGCCGTATGGCGGTGTTGTGGTGCAGGCGGAGGAAAAGCATGCGAGTACTACCGCTGCCGAGAAGGCGAAGGTGGGCCGGCCTTTTGTTGTGTGAATCGTTTCTTGCTTGGCCTCTGTATACAGTTGTTCTCTTAGCCTGGGATAGACTTAGCCTACTGAATAGCTCCGCCTTCCTCTCTCTCAAATGATTTGCAAATTGTCTCAGATCATGCTCGACTCCATCAACTCTCTGGATTTATTCCAGACACATAAAAGTGCATCACATGAGCAGATGAAAGGTTTCTGAATGCGGTGGTGTGAATATGCTTCGATAATAATAACGACAAGCTAAGATGAGTCTGGGGGGTGGGATATCTTCGAAGACAGTATGCAACGCAATGACGAACAAACAACGACAACATTGAAACAAAGCCAAGTTAGCACCATCCGGCGCTTCAACAAGGCGAAACGATCCATAACCTCATGACTTTGACTAGAGAAAACCCAACACCAGTCCCTTCCATGCCATCCTTCATTTCTTTCCAACCTTATCCTCTTCTTTGTCCTCCTCTTGATTCATAATCATCTTTCGGTCCATCAGAAAAGGAAGCATGGGTGATGGGAACGCTTGAAAAGAAGTCTCATCTCATTACCAAACCATACATTAAAACACATCACATCAAGGTCTTCTTAGGACCTAAACCAAAACCCATTCACTACCTCTCTTGATGAATTTATCCAGCATCAGGGTGACATCGGTAAGGACAAACCGACAGATGTAGAAACCGAAGAACTCGGCGGCGTGGCGTGTGGATAGCTCGAGACCGACATGTGTAGGGGAGGAATGCTTGAGACCTGGATCTTCGACTTGGCGTGCGATTTGGTCTAAGGGATTTTATTAGTATACGCACCATGGTGAGAAGATGTGAAAGCATACCTAGTATCTGGACCGCATCGAACAACCGCGCCAAAGAACCCATATAGCTTGCATTGGGACCCTCAAACACAACACCAGAAATGTCTCGCTTGGCAAAGCGAATGCTTGGGAGGTTTGTCATGGGAAGCGTCGACATGACTAGACTGTCCTTGGGTACTTCAGCACCCTTGGTACCGCCGGCCATGCCAGCAAGGTTGACGCCGGAGTTCTTTGATCGGAGTTTCCGCCAAGATGCAAGATACGACTTGCCCTGAGCAACAGCACCCTTGGCAGTGTGGTCTTGAGACCCATGCTTTCCGACACCATCAGCTGACGCCGCACCTTCGCCAACTGTAGTCGCGTCTCTGAAAAGTGCAGTTACGGACTGCACACCGACTTCGTTGCCTAGTTTCTTCGCTAGCTGGGTTTGTACCTGATCAAGCACTAGCTCCAGAGACTGCATCTCATCAAGTACAGCGTCTGCATCGTTCGTATCCACAGACGCTAGCTTCTGCAAGGCAGCTGTAAGCATATCGCAGTTGGCAGTCTTGTCCTCGATGTTCTTTAGCTTAACGCCCTTTACTCGCCAGACATCGCGAGGAATAAAAAGCTTAGTTGAGAGGTATCCACCGCGGGGATGTGCAATCGTCTGATAGAAGCATCGCATTAGCCAGAACGGTCTCAGTAGATACGAATCCGGGCATGGCTCCAAGGGTATCGGTGCGTTTGTGACAGCTGGGCTTGGCGAACCGGGCGAAAACGGTGAGTGAATATCACTTTCAAACAAGTGCATCCCTCCACTCGGTAGACCATCAACGTTGAATGTGGGGATACTAGGTGTTGGCATTGCTAGTCCGGCATTGCTGGGTTTCCGCCCCGTGATGGAGAAGGTCGTGCTGAGTGGCGTTCCAATGGACGCATCTGAGCCATCTGGACTGGATATTGACAGATTGCGCTGCTTCAGGCTAAGAGAGGACTTGTTCTTCCGGATTCCCATGGCTGAGGTTTTCCCAGTCTTTGGTGAACCTGGCACAAGACCAGCCTCATTGGATACAGCATGACCAAGGGCGGGCGTCGCTGGTGAAACAGTGGCAGCAGTCTCGGCAGGACTGTAGAGGGGAGGCTGAGGCGATGGAGCTCGGAGGCCAGATTGTTGGGACGCTTGCGGCAGCGCGGGCAGTTTGAACGCGGAGTCTAATGTTGGCTTAGTAGTGCTGAATGTTGGTGCCGCAGACTTGGGCTGGACAGGAAGATCGGTAGGCGCATCCTTAGCTGGCACCGGAGGCTTCTCCGTATGCGGTGCTGGCGGGACTGGTGGTACAGAAGTCTCGATTTTCAAAGACTTTGCGTTTTGGCCTGACAGTCTCCGGCTTCGTACTGAGGCTGCGTCCTTGGTTGCGGTGGTTGGTCGTGGTGTAATTTCTGCTGTGTCAATTGTTTGCGATGCTTGTGACTCCGGAACAGGAGGTAATGCAGGCAAAGCACCAGAAGGAGCAGGCGCGGAGGGAGGGGCATGTGCGGATGACTGTTTGGATGTCGGGTGTATCACCTCCGCAACCGTCGAAAGTGATGTACCACCCGTCGTTCTGTGCGAGGATACTGAGCTGTTGTACGTGCTTCCAGAAAAGCCACTCGAGTCCGACTGCCGCGGTAATGACGACTTTGTCTGTAGATCGAAATCGAAGCCATCGAGCATATACTCTCTCGTCATCTCATCCAATAACCGCTCTTCCTCATCCGCCTCGTCGTTGAATCTTATCTCAGCACTTTCGCGCACGTGTGGGAGTCCTTCGCTCCGAAGCTGCGTCTCCTTGTAACGATACTTGGCTGCAGCGATAGCTTCTTCCCGTTCGGCTTCACGTACGCGCTCTTTGGCTAGTTCCACGTTTCGCAGCTTCGTCGCTATCATATCCGCAGGGGTGGACATGTCGTCTTCATAAGGTTCGTAGCCGTCGTCGTACGCAGCTTCGACAGCTGCATCAAGCGCCGCGTCGAATTCTGCCTCGGTTCCTCCGCTTGCGTTTCGTAGATGCTTTCGGCGTACTCCTCCAGGAGACATGGAGTGCACTGAGGATGAACACGACGAGCCTCCAGACTCGTCTATAGTATCAAGCCATGATGTTGACTCGTTGCTGTGTACTCGCTGATGGCTCGTCTTGACTGTCTGTTGCGGTTGCAGTAACCGGCCATATTCCCCGGGCTCAGAATCGGCCTTTCCGCTAAGGAGGGGAGACTTGGACCGCTTTGGAGACAGTGGCGGAGGCATGTATACACGGTCCATCATTGACTCGGCAGTGGAAGATCGGACAGACGAGGTAGAAGGGGCAAGTCGCCCAGGCGGGGGCTGAAGGTTGAACTGTGGGTTCTGCATGCCTCTTTGCACATCGCGGATAGCTGTGGATATGACAGATTCACGAGGACCTTCGAAACCTGAACGAAGGGGCAATTGCTGTGAGGGAGCCGATGTTGGCTCGCCCATGGAGGGGGTATCATATATGGAACGGTCGTTAACTATGCGGGATACTGTGGCAGTCTCAATGACTGCAGGCGGCTCGTCGTCATCCAGGAGCAGCATTGAGCGGTGTTCGTCCAGCGATTCCCCGCTCATAGGACGAGCCGGTAGCGATTTGCCACTATGATTAGTGTAGCCAGGATCTAATCGTCGTAGCTCTTCTATGCGGTTGGTATAGGTTACTCGCTACCTGGGTTAGCACCGGGGTTCTGGACAAGGTTTAGGCGTAACTTACAATGGCATCCAGCTTCCGCCTGTCCTCCTCCTGCGAGCTGCGGATCATGACCTGCTGGAGGAGCTTGCAGGCATCCTCGTACGCCTCCATGGCGCCCTCGAAATTTTGCGCATTGTCGAGCAGGACAGCTGTGTTGGCCTTTTGCAGGGCGCGCGACAGCATTGTCTTCTTGTCCTTCTCCCTCCGCTCGCGTGTGCGGGGAGGAGTGCCCTGGTGGCCGTCGTCTAGCCTAGCGCTGGCGTTGCTTTCGCTGCGAAGGTGATCCCTGCTGGGGCTCCGCGCGTGGGTTCTGCTGGCGGATCTGAACTGTTCTCTGCTCTGGCTCCTCGAGTGGTCCCGTGAGGCGGCCTGCCTGTGACCCGCGCTCGGCGGGGGCTTTTGGGCGTTCTCCTTGGGTGCCGCAGCGATCGAGGGTCTTCGTCCTGTGGAGGGCCGACCTGGGCCCGAAGTGGAGTCGGCCTCGTGGAGGACCGCAGGCGACCCGAGAGGCGACTTGCCCAACACTCTTTCAGCCTTTGTGGTGCGCGAGGGAGGCGGCTGGCCAGGCGGGGGCTGCGTGGGTTTCGAGTTGAAGTAGTCGCGTGGCTGGTTTCCGGAGAGCAGGTTCGGGGTAAAGAGGCTGGACGCAGAGGGCGAGTTGTTGGTAGTCGAGGTGCTCGTGGGAGTGTTGGGGTCGTAGACGGTTGAGGGCAGGAGTATCGGGGGCAGCGAGGGTATCTTTGGGGGCGCCGTCACAGACGACGGGGGGTCGTAGATGGGGGAGCGAGGGCGGTGTCGGCGGGGACTCGACGTAGGCGAGCGTGAGGGCGACTTGGGGTGCGGTGCAGATGCATTGGCGGTGGTGGGCGTCGTGGCAGGCAGGGTGGTGGTGATGCTCAGCTTGCGCGAGAAACTGGGGTGGTGGTGGTGGTTGGCGTGCGGGTGTTGGTGGTGTGTGTCGCGCCGCTCCTGCTGGTCGCGACTGGCGGTCGTGGTGGTCTGAGACCAGCGGTTCAGGGTGTTGGAGGCAGTTGGGCCGTCCCGCGAGGCTGCAATGCCATCTGCTGCGCCGTTGGCAGCGCTGGAGCGGCGTCTGGACGAGGCCGGGGGCGGTGTGGCCCGCTTGTGGGGGGGTTTGGTGGACGAAGACGGCGATTCCGCGTTGGAGTCCCTCAGCGAGGCGGACCGGTGCAGCGACGACGACGAGATGGAGCCACTGCGCGACGACTGGCGGCGGTGCGAGGGATTATCCGGTTGGGCGGTCGTGGTATTCATGTTGGAGCAGTCGACTCCCGTCGAGGCAGGAATGCGTGTCTCAGGCCAAGCCAGCGGTTAATGCAATGCGCATGCAGGCATGGTTGCCGCAAGCAGGAACGCGCTGGGGCAAGCGGCGATGATGCGGCGAGGCGTGGCGGGCGGCGTCTTCGGTGCTGTCGTGCAATGGTGCTGTCTATCTTGAATATGTCGTACGTACAGCGACGAGAGACGGCCCTGTGGAGCGACAATGCCGCCAAGGAGAAGGGGTCTTCCAAACTCGGCCTAGTCTGCCCATGCCAGATACCCCTGTCCGGCCGACCCGGCTCCCTCTCCTCCCATGCTCCGGACGAACACCCGACTCAGACCAGCGACTCTGTGCTGCACGCAACCGCTCTGCTTCAGGGGCCCAGCGCACCGCGTCGGCGAAGTAGTCGTCGTCCTGACTCGTGCGCCGCCTGTTGGGGGTGCCTGAGTCCATCACCCTCTGCCCGCGACATTGCGTTTCAGACTCGTCTTCCCAATTGCATCCTGGCCTCTGCTGCAGGAACTGACTAGGACCTGGCCCTATCGACTAGCCTTGTGGCTGCGCTTGATGGACGCCCACAGTCTGCCTGCCTGCATTCCACACTGGGTTCCTGACTTACTTTCCCACTAGAAACATGCCCTACTGTCCTCTCATCTCTCCATTGTAGATCTATCGTTCCTAGTCCATCTTCTAGTCTGCGCATACAGTACATCATGCTTCTTCCCTGTTCCCCGCACCCCCATCTCCATTTTCCATCTCCCACGTAGCAAAAAAACAAACATGCATTGCCTACTCCCGCAACGCCTCCTACGCTGCGGCAGCCAAATGCGATATCGCCTTTGCCATGTTTCGGAATGGCATTGTTGCCCTGGCAAACAAGTCAAAAGAATCCTCGTGTCAACATTTACACAACCCAACGCGTTCGCCATCGCGCTCATGGCAGCCCGACGCCCGAACATCGCAATGTGCCGTATCGGTCCGTTTGCCACGCGCGCCAAGCCCCATAGCTATCAAACACGCGGTCCCAGCATCGCGGTTGTCTCGCGCATACGATAGTGATAATGACCTGATACTGACACACGCCTACTTGTCTGACACGAAAAGCACCTGCAACAAGCAAAACTCCGTCACCCATCTTCTCACATACATGACATTGGTGGCTTTGTGATTTCTTTTTGCTCCTCTGCACGCCACGATGAGCCAACCGTCTGCACGACATTTATAGTCGTTTTCGCCTCTCCGCAGCCTCCTCCAGGCTACTTGCCAGCCTTCGTGGTCTGACCATGATCACGTCTACCATTCGGGTCCACCATCTCTCGTTTCATGCATTACCGTTATCGCCTTCATGGACACTGCTCATGCTCAACCCTGCAAAACAATCAATCGCAGCACCACTAGCCGCATAAGCTCCACCCGTCCATCTTGCAGTGAGCTTGTAATCCACATGTCATATGCCTACTCCATCGCTGTTTTTCTTCAGTGGAGATCAACCATCATGTCCTCCTCTGCCTCGAGGCTGTCGTCCCATGCTGTGTCCATAGCATCGCCGTTGTTGTTGCTCTGCCGCTTACTCAACCGTTTCTGATTCTCGACGTACTCTTTGGTGAGCGTCAGTCGGTAGTCGGCATCCTTGACTTGCTCGGCGAGCATGTTGGTACGACGCGTCTGCTCAAACAGCGCTTGCTGTTGCTGCTTCTCGCTCTTGGCTAGAGGCCCCTGTGTTGGGTCTAAGAAGAAACGTAGTACAATCCCCGCGTTCGACTTGTCCGTCTCCTCTAGTCGTGCGTTCAGGTGCCCATCCTTGATCAATGTGTCAATGTATCGGGCGATCTCATCCGCGGAAGCCCCCAAGTGGCTGGCAATGTTTGAGACTGGAATTGCCGAGTATGTCCGTGATAGCCGCGAAACGTAGGCCCGCGTTTGGCTGCTGATGAGCTCGTTGACGAGGCCTGTGTTGCCATCCTACATGTCTTGTCAGCGTGTGCGCAACAAACCGTGAACGTTTTGTAGTGTCTCATAACCATACCTCTGCCCAGATCTCAGACCCTGCTTGCACTTGGGCCTTCAGCTTGGACATGTTATCCAGTTCCTCATACGCCTCTGCCAAAGCTTCGTATGCTTTCGAAGCAGCCTTGATATTCTTGATCGCATTGCCGTTCGAAGTACGTGGGCAAGTCCCCATCTGCGCATGTCAGCTCGTTCCATTGCAGACTGCTCAACTGTGACATACCTTTCCCCCGACAAGACAGCTCACTAACGCCCACTTCCTATACGCCTCCAGCATCAGACCGTTCGCGGTGTTGGCCGTAGGTATGACCAACACATGTTCGAGGAAATGTTGCGCCTTCTTGAACTGGCGAATTCCCAGATATGCTTGGGCTCCTAGAACGTAGTATTCCTCTATTTCTGACACTGAGAACTTTTCTGAATGCCCAGAATGCTGATGTATATACTCTCCGCTACTCGCGACATCCGCACATGGCACTGAGTATTCCAGGCCGTCACGGGCAACGGTCGGCATCCTCAGAGGAATAGTGTGAATGTAGTTGTCGAGGATGGGTTCGGCGGCCGCGTACGATCGTGTCTCGCAACATAGCTGTACGAAGAGGAGGTGAATTGAAGTGAAGGTGCCTGTAGTAGGGTCGAGCCGGGTCATAGCTGACCGCATCGGTGAAATAGCAAGGCTCGGCTATAGTCGTCAGTATCTCTTCCTAGCAGAAAGCGTCTCGTTGAGCATACCGATCCGCATGCGCGCGTAATTTGCTCTAGATATTCTACCAGTGTTCTCCATTCCTTGCCAACATATCGCAGCTGTACAGGATCCGCAGTCTCGAGAAATAGTACTAGCTGATTCCATAATGAACCTCCGGGCTGCAGTGTGTCTGGGATGTTTCTCTTCTCGACCAAGGTAGAGATTCGGTGGCGGAGGGCAAAGGCGTACGCTATTGAGTTGACGGCAGGGTTAAGTATCTAGAAAGTCAGCTGTTTGCAGGCCGATACGATATGTTTTCCTTACCGAGAGAACATCTTGTTGTGTATCTGCGCCCTTGGTCCAAGATGTCGATGAGATGTTGGATAGTTGTGAGACGAAATGGCGGGCCTTGGTGTCGTAATCGCGTCTCTTCACGAGCTCTGGGCTGTCCGGTTGGAACGAAAGCAATATGGTGGTGAGTTCGGCCGACATGGTCGCGGCAGCGTGGAGGGATGTCGTAGATTGAGCACGTATACAAGGCGGCGGGCGGCGAGGTGGGGTATCGTGTTACTATTGCCAGTGGACACCTAGTGCAATATGTTGAATCGACTTCCAGTAAACTTCCTGTAGCTGGAAGCAGGGGTCGGATTAGGCAGTGAGGGAGAAGGCGTTGTTGCTGCAAGACGATCTTTGAGTTCAATTGTTTGTACAGGCGGAGGTGTCAAGCTCCCCGCGAGCTCAAGGCATCTACGCACGGACGGGCCCCTCCCCCTCGTCACCTTTACCTCTACTGTGGCGGTGCACTTCAACCTGATCTCAAGATGAAGCAAAGCAAGAACGCATGAGTGCAAAAGTGCATAGTCATTTAGCGTCATTCATCTGTGGTATCGTCTATCCAACAACGCCTAGAAAACAATCCAAACCCAGAACGGTATACAAACGGGCAAAAGTGTAACTTTACCTCTTCTTGACACCTTCCTCCATGCGCCTTATCAGAACCTTCAGGCCGACACCCTTCTCGCAATTGCTTTCGAGGAACGCCTCCATCTGCTCTCTGACTTGCTTCATGCCCTTCAGTACCGGCAATCTTCTCCCCTCTTCACCATCAAGATGCATGAGCGGGTTCAGAAGCAGATCGAAGCACTCGTGCCAAATCTCCGTCTGCCAGTATCGCTTCAAGCTCTCCTTGATCTTGTACGTTTTGGTCGCGCCAGCACCGAGAGTTGCGCCGCGCTCAGCTATTGTAGAGATATACTTGCCAAATAGCAGATTGTGGACTATGCCAGCAAGCCCGTGATAGTCGATCTGGTAGGTCCAAGGACGCAGTTCGCGCATCTCTGCACAGTCGGCTTCTGTAGTAGGCCAGTCTGCGATGAACTGTACATCTGGCTTGAAGGCCTTCATGTCAATGCCACGGCCGAAATCGATCAGCGAGACACCCTTCGCAGACCAACCATCACGCCCGTCGCGCTTGTACTCCGAGTCCCAATGTTCGTCCTTTTGTAAGGCATCAAACCGAACGAGAATGTTGTCAGACTTGAGGTCACCGTGTATCACACCCTTGGAATGAAGGGCCTCCACCGTGCGGAATAACTCGATAGTGAAGAACATGGCAAGTTGCTCGTCCATGACACCATTTTCCCCACGAGAGAGGTTTACGAGATCCAAAAGAGTACCCTGGTCTCGATACTCTTCCACAAGATAACACTCGTCTTTAAAGACGTGCATCTCGTACGCATAAACGATCGAATCAGCCGCTCGAGACACGCCTAGTCGTCGCTTGGCTTGTCGCATAATGTAAAATTCCCATGGCGTTGGTGGATCCTCCATCTTGATAGCTTCCAGATCCTTCCGTTTTAGGCCGAATTCGCCCTTGCCCATCTGCGAAGGTTGATTCTCGTCGTCCTCATCCCCGGAATCTTTGCTCTCTACCAGATACACTGGCGCAAAAGCTCCTTTGCCAAGTTCACGTTTAACGGCATATGTCCGTTTTGTTCCCGGGAACTGCAGAGTAGGACAGAGAGCAAGGTTTGTGGAAGTCTTCTCTGCCTTGCTTGTTTTGATGGACTTGGTGTACTTGCGTATATCAGCACCCTTTCCGTAGCTCTCCTCGGTGTCTGCGTAGTATCCGTCGTAGCTATCTAGTGGCGGCTGGATTTCTTGCAGAATGGTCTTGCGGACGTTCTCGTCTACGGGATTACACTGTGCATCTTTGATGATTGGACCACTAGCCTTTGGTGCTTTAGACGGGACCTCCTTTGCAGCCAACGGTTTCCGTTGCGGTTCCGCGATGGGCTCTTT